TCGCCAAACAAATCAAAACAAATCGAGCTGTACCATAAACTCACTATAGAAAATTATTGTGGTATTTATCACGCTTACACAGAAGCATTGTACTTGGTACTGGTGCGATACAACAGACATATGCAGAAAGAATAACACGTTGGGTCTGTCTCCCGAAAGACTGATTACACCATTGAAGAAAACGCATCTAAAATCCAAAAGATTGCAAAGAAATGTATAGCCAATTTTCCGGAAAAGCAAATGTTCAGAAATCCAGGGTTTTTTCGCACCTAAAATCCAAAAGATTCCAAAGAAATGTATTACCAATTTTCCGGAAAACCGATGTCCAGAAATCCAGGTTTTTCCGCAAATCACAATGACCATACTTAATTAGCGTACGTTTAATATTTATATGATTGACTGTTTAGGTAAACAGAAATTTAATCATTTCAAAAATAATTATCAAAATTCTTAAGATCGTCAACGAGAAGAAAGATATGGTACTGCTGTAGATATTTAGAAATAATATATGCAATAATGATTTAATCAGTCTTTCATAAATCAGGACCCATCGATACACGAAATGGTCTGAGCGCACAAAACCCTTCCATGCATTTATAATTCTACTTTTAAATTTACTCTAATCCTTTAAAACAAATGGACAACTTTTCACAATATTTTTTATCATTTCACATGAGTTAAAAAATAGTTTTTTTGATTTGCGTTTTGTTAATTTTGTACAGTAAACATTATATGTCTGAAACATCTCATAGGTAATGGTTTTATGATCCTTTTCACGTTTGTTTTCGATCACATCTCAATGAAAAATATTAAAGTAGAAATAGAAAATCATCATCATAAAATCGTTATCAAGAGAATTATATGAAAAATCATCTTTTAAGGATGATAAACAAATGTTTCAATACTTAAACATATATTGTAAGTGCTTTAATAATGAAAACGAACCGCGGGACAGTTTGGCATGATACTCTATAATACGACACCAACTTTCTAAATCTGTATAAATCAAATCGAACAATCACAACCAACATCTGTTAAATACAAAACGAACATTTCATTTCTAAGCATCAATTTAAATTAAATAGTGTCCATCTCTGTGAGGACGACAATGGCGTCCACTGACATCATCATCAATGGAATCCTTGTTGCATGAAAACACATTTTTAAAATGCTATATTTTGTATAAAATGATTTGAAAAAGAAAACAAAATATCAATAAAAAATACGCAATCCTGTATCACGACCAAAGTAAATTTTTAAAAGACCGAAATTCATGAAATAAGTCAATTCTGTGAAATAATTTAATTTACCGAACGTGTATCACGTGTATATTGAAGGAATATCCTCATCAAGTGTTGTTTATCAACTTATCTTGAAGACCTCAACGAAATAATCGTGAAATCAGGAATAAGATTTCAGGAAATATGAAAACGTGTCAGCAACATTAAGGTTAACAGTAACATATAATAAAACAAAAATAAAATATTGCACCAACCCACGTCATTTATAGTATGACGAAAATTGTACTAAAAACCTATTTCATATGCATATTGTGATAAATTTCACTTATTGTGTCACCCTGATTACACAGTTTGGTCATCATTTTTGTTTGAAATGGTGATATCTCGAAAGTATAAACTCCTCGCAAATATGCGCTTTCAATTGTATTGTGAAATCAGATATTTTCGTGGGGATGAAATTTCGTGAGTTCCCAACAAAACACAATTTTGTTGGTACATGGATTCGTGAATGAACCATTACCCATTTAAACGGAGAATCGCTTTATATGAAAATTGAAATCACTTTGTGGACCTGTGAATTCGTGGACTAGGATTATCCACGAAATCAACGAAATTAGAAACACCACGAAATTAGTGATATCACAGTATATAAAGCACGCGTTCATTAATATAGTGTTTTAGACATATGAGTAGACTGACTTAGTTTTGATTGCTATGTTTAAAGACGGTGGGGGATACATGTGTTATGTCTTATACATGTCATACATTTGACATCACAATTAACTTACTTTGTACATAAAACATGGATACATCTGTATAGGACAACGCAAGTGGACGCGAGTAAATGTCAATCAAATGTATTGTGAATACAGACAATTTGCCATGCTTAACCCTTTCGGGACCCCTATGTAACTTTAGTAGACTCTACCATACATTGATATGGATGAGTCCATTATGGTCTATAGTGGTTAAAGGGTTAAACATGGTAAAAATTTCGTGTTCCAATTTGATAACCGTAAGTGTAGGACAAAATTATATTTCAAACCATTAACAAGTTTTATGAATCAAGGTAAGAAATAACCATTGTGTTAAATGTCACGTTACAAATATTAGAATAAACGTCACGTGCGTTCGTTCCTATCACTTCTCATCGCAAAAGTAAGACTAAGAGATCTCTCCGTTATAATCACGTGCATTAAGTTAAAATCTAAGACCGTGTTCTCACGTGACAATGTCAAATATAACGATCTTGAAAAAGTAACCAAGGTCAAATATCGATATCCCATAATCATGCCTAGTGATAATAACAATGATATATTTTCATGCTATGTATATGTTATGCACACATATGAACACTACCGATTATCTCTATTTTACGGTAGTTAACGAATGGTGATAGCTAACATGTTAATGTTTTCAGAGAAGAAATGATGGCTGATACGAATGATTTATGAACCATGAAAAGGAGGCCACTATTGAAACAGGTTAATGTATTTCTTAATCAACGTTCAGAAATATTGCATATGACTCGCGTGTAATGTATTTAATCACAGATAAGGCAGTATATACGTGATAAAATTCCGCCGAATACGTAAACTAATCGTGTAAAATGTTTAAACTCCAGTAAGTATTACAATCAAAAAATGAAACATCCGAATATAGTTAACCTTCGCTATGTCGAAATCGTTAGGGTCATGACAATAACTTATATCGAATTGCCGTGGTACATTTATATACCAATTATATATGTATACATGAAAGGCTATTCGAAATATCCGAAATATTATAAATGAATAAGTATTCGAACTATTTGAATACATTGTAATGATTTTCAAAATGTATTCGATATATCCGTTTAAATATTTATTCATATATTAATGGATATTCGATATATCCAAATATACATAAAATATGTAAAAATATATTCGATATATCTGTAAGTATTCGATATATCCGATTTTATATAAATGGACTTACTCTTTCTCTTGTATTACATCCAATTAATTAAATGGGGATTTTGATATTTCGAATACCCCATTTATCTCGAGTCAAATATTCGTGCCACTTACAACTTCGGCATAAGGAAACTATACTATATGAAAATGTTGTTATATTTCTCATCGAAATATATGTGAAAAATAACATCAAAGTCGTGTAAACCACGCATATTAAATGACAGTTGTCTATCTCGCTCAGATTTAATATATTTCCATGATTTATAATTAAGCATACGTTAAACACTTAGTTTTGTATTAATAGCTGCATATTTTATGCTCGGACGTAAATTTGTACCACATGTTGCATGTGGCCCGTATTCTATAAATCTTTTCATCAATTTCTAGGGAATGTGTATTATATTTAATTTGTTGTAACCAGTTATCCGATACTCTTCAAATATCAACGGAAAATTGTTAACTTCGTTGGTATTTTACCAACTATTTTAGCCATCTATAAAAAGCAATGGCCCGATTTAGGGAAAACCTAGTAAATTTTCTAAAAATTAATTTCTATCAATTTTTTTTTTTGATGAAATTATATTTTATGACCTCATGTATATATAGCTAACAAAACTGTATAGCTTGATAGTATTTATGAGGATGGATGATTTTAATAGGACGACGGCAAAATCGGTTTAAAATGTCATCGTCATACTAAGTCTTAAACTTGTATAAGGTGTAACTCGAGTTTAATCAAAATATGTGCATTCGAGGAATACCACCTCTGTTAAAAGAACTGGGTAAAATTATAATTAAAAAAATCAACCATTTTATTTCAACAACTGTATCGGTAAATCTGAATCGCACATATTTTGGTAAATTTTGGAATGTTTGAAGTAAACAACGTTTAAATTTTAATAATAATAGCTGTCATCATTGTAAATTGATGCATATATTACGTATTTATTTCGTCCTTTTGATATCTCCAAATTAATTCTTGTAAAATTAATGGAATGTTTTGAAAACCATTGGACAAAATAACAACACAAGTAACAGTTTTGTATTTTCGAAAGAAATATCAAACAATGCAAGCTTCGTTTTTTCTTTTGAATATTTATAACAAAACTCCCGTTTAAAAAAAAAAAAAAATATATCAATGGAATTTGTCACGTTTCAATTTCCTGTATCAAGTTACAATGTTATGAGGTGCTATGGTAACCTCAGTGTCTATAAATTGTAAAAAATGGTTTAGATGTTTTACCGAATCACATAAGCTGAAATTGACTATGACCTATTTTTTGCGCGAATTTGTTTGAGTCGACCTTCATTTTTTAAGATTTTAAATTGAGAAAACCTTCAGCATCGATCTTGATAATGAACGTAAATGTTCAGCTCTTTTTTTATGATAATTCACATATCAAAAAGTTCAATAACAAATGTCTGAAATTTAAAGGAAAGGCAGTCTAATATTAACTAAATTTATATAAATTGACTTACTTACTGAAGGACGCGCGGACAACGTTACATTTGCATACGCCCATTAGATTACAACGTACGAAGGACATTTTAAAATATAAATTTCATGTTGTGATATGTATGTTTTGGAGACAATTATTTCTCTAATTCAATTGAAACACCAATCAAAATAAAACTATCAGATATTAAAACTTATTTAGTAATTTGATTTCCATGTGATTCTTTTACAAGAATTTGCTGAAGTCATACACTTTCTGTAATTTAATGCTTCGTAGATCAGATGGATTTCCATATTTTTGAATTTTTGATATTTTTTGGTAGGTCATAAAATATCAACATAAAACGATATAGTATATATATATAACCAATATACCACAAATAATTATATGGGTATTTTGTGTCATTTTAACATGTAACAAATACAAACCACATATGCAGACTGTCAATAACTAATTGTAGCAATGTTCTGTAGTTTGCACTTGTGACGTCATATGCGTACAAATTAAAATATATACAAATCCAGCAAGAAATGTCTACTGGAAAAATACGGACAATACTTTAAATTATTAGAAACTTTGCAGAATATACAATGTTTTGAATATAATAAATAATACAAGTAATGTACAAATGCTCAAACAGTCTAATAGATACATTATCTGTATACTACACTCACTAATACTAATAGGAAGAGCAAGCTTGCTAACAGGCAAACATACTACAATATATATATATATATTTCAAATAATTTAACGAATAAAATATGGATTCTTGCAAATTTTCTTTGAAATACATGATACCTTATGCTTTAATGCATATTTTCGGATACAATTAGTTAATTATAACAAACTCATCATTCTTTAATTACTTAGAACAGATATAATATATCTACTTTAAAAATTGATCGAATATTTTTTGTGCCTGGGAAATAGCATATCTGATAGAAATAATTCAGCGAGAATTTGCTTGGCGCCATTTGTAGAACTACCATTATGTTACGAAATAACCGCTCACAATCAAGACATCGTCTCAACCTGGAAACGACACCTTCACGATGTAGCTTAAAACAAACAAAACAAAAAAGTTCGAACCGTTAACTATCTGCAAAAAATGTTTTCGTCTCAAAACATTACCTAAGCCTTATTCTAAATCTCTAATAATAAACTGCAACGTTTTGCAGTCAATGGGAGATAACTTGAGAGTTATTATCCCTTTTTTAGCATCAGAATGCAGACTAAGTTGCTTCTAGGCAATTGCTATCCTTCATGTTTAAATGTTAACAATTAATATTTTCTCATTGATTACCACGTGCTCACATCAACGAGAAGCTTGTGACAGGAACACCGTAGCGTAAAGCGTGTGTAGATACATACAAAGATAAAAACAGTCTCGATAACAATGTCCAATGCTATTCTAAGAAACGTTTATTTATAAATCTGACTGGATACACAATTTTGTATATGATCATTACCGTTATGATAGTCATAAAAACTGGCAAACATTTTGTAAAAAGAAATTAATTCTTTGTCGCAGATTTTGGCATATCATTAATCTATCTTAGCATTTGATTTATGTATGACCAGTCAAATTCTAACTAATCGTGTCTAGAGAAAGCGTTGGCGGGGCATTAATGACACATCCGGGTATTTGTAATACTGGCAGTGAAGGGACTGACTAGGTTTATCTTAAAATATAAAACTTAAAATATTAAAAATATTTCAATTCAGCGTTTTTCGTGTAAAATAAATCAACGTATAAAATTCATCAACATGAAGGACAGAATATTATTTTAAGTTTTAAGAATAGCTGTCTGGAATATAAATAATATTTTCTTTTTTTCCCCAGTTATTTAGATGAAGTAGCTACACGTATAATATATCATATTGCACACAAAGTCCCTAATATCGTCCAAGAAATAAATAATGTAATAAATTATTCGAAAGTCGCAAACATTAATTGACAATATCATAAAAGTCCACATATATATAATATACGTCTTCAACACGAAAATTACTTCTGTTACAGACAAAAAGCTGTTTACCGAGTTTTACATACCCACACCTATAATATGTTGGTCAACCTTCCAACACGTCGTATTGTCGTTTTGGCCTCGTAACACTGATATAGCGGTTTAACGGCTTCATTTACTTTGTCTTTACCAACATTTGATATTCTCATGTTTACTAACAAGTTCATAATTTTCATTGTGACCATGCAAAGTAATTATAATCCTACTACACATAAAAATTTATCTGGAAATTTTAACATTTTGAGGATCATAACTCTTGTCAGTCAAATGAATATATATACACACTGATTTCAGTAGTATTAATAATTTTGACGCATGTCGCCTCGCTAAATTTCAAGCTATTTTTTTGTATCTTACAACTACAACCTGTCTCTTATCCGCACATATGAAACTGAATTGATCATTATTTGATGCAGTCTTTTGATAGGTAATCTTATAGTCAATTCAGTAGGTTCATTGTCTCCTCAAATAACGTACATCCGGTATGGCAATAGGACAAAGACACGATTTGATGACGTCATATATTATATTATGACATCATACATTTGCACCTCGGTTTATCCAATCATCTTAGTCTTCCCAGAACAAGGTGAGAAAATGCTTCTCATATTGAAAGGTAAGCCGTATTCCATTCTCCTTGCATCGACTCGTATATTCGTATAGCTACACAGGTAATAGCGATCATTTATTTTGTCCTTTTTTTAAGGACATTCGCACATTCTTGAATCTAGGGCCACAAAGCGTTCATATGAATGCTGACAGAAATGACGATGAATTAGTTTTCATTTCATGAGTGATGACGTCATTATGAATGGATGAAAATGGCGCGAAAGCAACAAGTGTAAGTGAGCAGCTCACGTTGACAACAACAGTAGTATCGGCGAAGGTCTCGACTGGCAGCTTGACCAGTGTCTTCAAATATCAAAATCACAACAAGGAATGATTTAATTAATAACGTGTTTTTTCTATTGCACTTTTTTATGATCCCGGAATGTAAAAGCAATTGAATTGATTACATTAGTGACCTCACAAGTCCAAGGTCATATTTTTAAAGGTAGAATAATTCCCTTAACAGACGCTTGCGCCCAACGTGAACATTCTTCTTTATTTGCAGAACTGCGCCTTCAAGACAAGAGTAGATAGTATATATCTACATATCTTGAAATGATGACTTTTCATTTGTTCCACATACAATCTAACAAAGATAACATCGCCCTACACTTCCTTATGGTTTCCGCATTTCGTCGTCCATTTTTGTTGTTGAAGAATAAGTTTTGCCGGCTTTTCTCATAATAAAAATCGTGGACTTTGAAGCATGGTAAGTCATTTAAACTTTTGCTCCCTAGACGATTGTTAAGTTTCCAAGTAACCTTTGACCTGTCTATATAGACGAGTGTGACGTCATTCGTGTAACCTTTGAACTCCTGTTATACGATAGTAAAGTCTTCAGTATATCCTTTGTCTCCTTTGTTCTTTCTTTGAGCAGAACTGCTGTCAGCAATTTCGTCATCATCAGGGACTGGGCGGTAATACCTTCAACAGTAGTAACAACATGAGATGAATCACCGGCAAAAATACTGAGTTTACAACGTTCAGACACACTAAGAGTGCTTTTTAATAAAGTTACATAACATGTTTATACGAGGAAGATAAAAGGTTTAATGGTATTTATTATGACCTTTCCTTATATTGGATTGCTGGTCAATTCTCACCTGTCCAACAGACTAACTGCATCTTCATCTTCCTCGGCCGGACTGGTCATAGACTGGCCGGCGAGCGACATGACTAGTGGACGGTGCTCGTCCGTGCCAGGAGTGGCTAATGCTGTGTCGTACCGGGTCCGCACGTGCGGGGTACTCCGACCTACTGTCCTCATACCTAGAAAAAGATACAGAACGGAAATAGATAATGTCGTTCTCACCACTAGTAAAAACATGTAGCATGTTCATAGATAACATCAACGTACAACTATGAGAGGACAAATCAAAGTTATTGATAACTTAAAATACATAGCATTGGTATTGGTGGGGACCATTGGAAACACATGATGGGTTGGATCTCATTCTAAAGGTGCTTAATTATGAGATGTGGTATATGTACATGTACATTCTCTCGTATATCCTGTAAATGTCGACAGGCGTGTTACAGTCCCACCGAATCAAGACAACGAATTCAATCAGTAAATAGGAGGCTTGTTTTGGATAATATGCAGTCATCTTGTTGTCCCTAGGGAATAGTCTCTAGTCTATATACACTATATACACCAAGTAAACAATCGGTGTTGTAAATTATTGGTCATACAAGCAAAGTACTTTCAAAATGTACTTGTTCGATTATACCAATTATCTACATGCAACTTAAATGCATTTGCAAAATAGAAGTCTATGCCGTTTTCATATATTTATAAAATAAAGGTGACAGAGTACATACAGTACTAGTCATCAAAACGTCACATGGGATCACTTATTGGTTGTGTAACAAGAACCTTTCATAATCCATACTTACTAAGCTGAACAAAACGTTAAAAATACCTAACTTTAAAACATCGTTTTTCTCTCAAAAAATACAGATTTTCACTCATTGCATGAGGTTGCTTAATCAAATTGCAGTAAGAAGGATTCTTTATCAGTATTCAATGTAATAGATGTTTTATTAAGCATTGAAAAAACTTGTATTGACAATCATCTAACTTTCTTCAGTTTCTTATCGATAGTGATGGCAATTTAAAATGTGATGTTCTTTTGTATGTGATCGATGTGTGTACCTTCTGTTCTAATTGATCGACCTTTACCTTTTCTTGACATATTGTTTCCCACTGTTTGTGATCAGTTTACTTTGTTACTGATTAATTTCTACAATTTTTTTCTTAAAATGATCGATATTTTTCCTTTACTGTTAATGATCGATATTCATATTTTTATAACGTGATAAATATTTTCGTTCTTTCTTTTAATGATCAAGATCTATTTTTTTTCCTTTAGTGATCGATATTTATCTTTCTTCTGTTTGTGATCGATATTTAAATTTAATTTTAGTGATCGAAATGTACGTTTCTATTGTGCATGATCGATATCTAGGTTTTTGCTAGTTATCGGCATTAAGTGATCGACATCTTACTTTCTACTGTTTATATACAATATCTACCCTTTTATTAGCAAACGATTCATACCCTTCTACTAGCAAGCTATATATACCCTTATATCATAATTTATTATTATTTTCCGTGAAATTGATTATGACGTCAGATAGATCTCACATCATATACGAAAAATGTAATAAATAAAAAGTTAACGCTTTCCTTTTATCATTTCACTCGTGCAGCGGAATATTTCAGTGATTGCACTCGTCCCTTTGTAGCTTGATCCTGAATATGTGAAGCTATGTTAGGCACATTTGTGTAATACAGAAATACAAACGACATATACCCTTCTATTAGTGAAATATGTCTACCTTTCTTATGTTTCTCGGCTGCCTTTCGGTAAGACTGGTAGGCGCCGTCTAGCGGACTAATGGAGTGTGGTGAGTCACGCCCACCAAATGTGTACGTGACCTCTTCACTGCTGGTGGTACTTGTCCTACTGTGGGTTCTGTGAATCAAAAACATTACATTGTATGTATTTATATTTCATGTTCACTTCCTTTCAGAACAACAAGGTAACGAAGTTTACAGCTGAATGTAATAGGTACAAACAAGTAGACAATATTTGTGTCATTTTCAACATCGAAACATACTACTTTAAGCACCTTTCAAAAGAACTATTCAATAAAAACCACATGCTAGCATGCATTTTACAGAATTATCGTTGTTCGAATTTCAAAAGTTTGAAATTAGAGATAAAAAAAAGAAATAAGAAAAGATGCAGGAGTCGCACACATAATATTTACACTGCAAAGCCTACACTTTCACCAAATTTTGAATCGGAAAGTATAAAATTGTACAGCATTATAACGAGTGATCGATTTATTTGCCGAAACGTTTTAGAATAAAATGACAGGGGGAGTAACTCTAAGCTAGAAAATCTGCTTCCGATAATACTTCATCTTCTATTTAGAAAGGAAAATACCCAAATGCGAACTTTTTTTTTTTTTTTTTTTTGTGCGAGTATAACTGATGCAGTGGTACTTTTTGCCTTTATGTTCGGAAACTTCTTAATCCGGTAGATTTGTTTCTAAAATATTAAAGTTGTCCAGATATGAATAAATTTAACGTTGTCTAGATATGAACTACTTATCATTGTTTTTACATAAAATTCTTTAAAAAGACTTTTCGACATACCAACTTTCACAAGTTTATCTATATTGTACTTATGAGATAATACCACTTGATCTATATACATATATGTGAAACTGTGTCATTTCGTTAACCAATCACAACTTATGATTTTATTCATTTTTGTTTCTTTAACACACTGACCTTGGTACGAATGCTGGAATGATTTGACGCTTGGCGATTGTCCCGCGCTGTTTGCCGCGGTGGCGACCACGTGTTCTGCGCGGGTGGAACGTCTCGCGTGGAGCGTCTGTGGTTTCTCGATCCGTTGTGTCACTCTCTGCTTCCTTCTTCATGGAACGTTTAGGTTTCCCTTGGGCACCTGTATCGCCACCAACATAACAGTTCATATGATAAGTATGTCTATAAATATGTGGTTTTCCTGATACAATAGAACAGTGACGAAACTACTTAACTGTTCGCGTACTGGATAACCCCGAAAGTGGTATCATCGAAAAATATTTCATAACCATCAAACGAGAGAGAATGAAAAAAACATCAAATGTTTTAAATTATAAAGTATTGTGGATATTTGGAAAACTTGACAAACATGAAGTTTGTTCCTAATTAAAACATTAAGATGTACGCTGAAAATAAATATTTGCTGCTCAAGATGAACTAATTCTTAATTGGCGTCTGCCCATTGCAACAAGCAGAACACTGCACCAAAGCATCCAAAGCAATACTGTGATCAGTTCTAATTACACTGTATCTTAGAAAGTTTAGAATGATATTACTATGCGAACTACCCACACTAATTATATATATAAATACCGGGACACTTACACTCGTAGCCTGGGACCTCGCACGCTGCCTGTCGCTGCTCGTTTGGTTTAGGTGGAGACTGGGTGAACTGTACGATACCAGGCTCCGTGGCTACTGAACTATCTGTTGGGCCAGAGCTCGAGTCCTGGGGCGACTCGTACACTACCGGAGGGGGAGGGTTTTTCCGTGCGTTCTCCAAGGCCTCCAGCAGTTCGTCACGGCTAGATGATACTGTCGTTACGCTCGAGATCACACTGTGTCTCTGACTTCCTGTTTAATAGCAAACGTTGAAACTAACCAACATGAACTATGGTTTTCGTCATACATGTATTAAGATGGTATTGTATCATAAGCAAATCTGTATTCATGATTAAAACTGAAATTGTAATCTTGACGTCATATTTAACATTTTCCCTGTGTCAGTTAATTACAAGTACGTCTCCTTTCTGTCCCATTTAAATTCATTTCCATTATAACATTTTTACGCTGTAATAAATTAAATGAATGAAGCTACCTTCACAAAAAAAACGTGAGACACTGACTCTATGATACATTTACTTACCTTTCTCATCAGAGCTTCCATGTGACCCTGATTTTGATTTGCCGTAAGTACTGTGTGGCCTAGGTGGGCATTGTGTAAACAGAGCGTGGATCTGTTCCGCACTGGCGTACTTCCGCGGACTTAATATCAGTCCTTTATTATAATAAAAAGAAAACAGCGTGACAAACGTGTTCCCAGTTTCGTTATTCATACCTATCATGCATAACGGTATAAGTGCATTTAGTTCATCTTTCTTTATTGATAATTTAATAAATGCTTGATTATCAAGCAAATATATAACTAAGCGGAAGATGGGTCCCACTTTCAAAATTTCAAAAACACAATTTGTTGTATCAATAGCTGCTATTGACATTATCGTGATTTAAATCATCTGTATGTTTGAATAGGGTTTATTCTGTAGCACGAAGAAATAGCGCAGCACATATTTATGATGTTGGTATGATCAGATTTATTTATATCACCTTGTAGCGATAGGTGGAGGATTTCAAAGCTCTGTCGTTCGGTAATGTTTCAAGTTTTACTACGAAGAGATTTAATGATTATGGTTATTGGAGTTGAGCTAACCTTGGTTGTCGTATCCGGCCTGTTTGGCACTTTGGTCCCGCATAGGCACTAGGGGAGGGTTGGGGTCCCTCGCCTCATGTTCGGCTTTGTGGAAAAATGGGACGTACGGTTCTGACGGAGTTGACATCTAAATTATAAAAATAACATTTCAACAATTCGTATTTGAGTAGGCTGAGGATGAAGTGACCTAACAAGATGTATTATTGTGGTAAATAATTACACAGTATAGCTTTACAAATGCACAATCGTTCAAAGAAACCTATCATTTAGGTACGTAATGGAACCAATAGGGACAATACAGGTATTAAATAAGTTTGATTTAAATACTAAACTATAATTAGAAAAGTCGAAAAACATGCAATAGAAAAAAATGTTAACCAAATATCAAGTACATAATTTACAGGAAAATGTATTATATATAGTGAAATCATTTTAAATCATGCTTTAAACTGACGTCAAAGGAAAACAACAAAAATTTTCAAACATAAATCTTAAAGATATCACCATAGTCTATCAGGTTACGTACACATTTCTGCGCCTGCGCCTTCTCCAGACTGATGTCGTCAAACTCGGGTAACATCATGTCGTCATTTCGCCCCATATCATTCTTCTCTACCAACACCTGTTTGAGCTGGTTAAATGTGGCGTAAGGATTGATGTTTCCGTCCTCGTCTGGAAAAAGAAAATCACACAATACAGAATTGTCCGCAAAACTTGATATCAAAACAAAATAAGATCACGTGATAAAAGTAAGACCAGTTGTTTCAAAAGGGTAAGCGTCGCTTGTGCTTCATCGACGAGACCCCCGAGAAAACACAAGAACGCAAATAGGGAATGACTTTTAGAATGTGCAGTATGGGGAAAAAGATAATACGAGTTTTAATGGTGATTGTTTCCATGATTGTTTAATTGTAAAATCCCTTATTTGAGGTGGTAATCAAGGGAGACAAATCCTAAACGGTTTGTTTTCTAATTACCTGTTCCGGATCTATCAAACGATCCATTGTCGCTATTGGTTTTACTGTTGTCATGGAGACCGAACCACGTGTGACTGTTGCCTGTTAGGTTGTCGTCCGAGTTCAAAGATATCAAAAGGTTTACATTCCTCTTGCCAAACGGCTCGGAGTTCCCACTACTACTATCAAGGTCAAGATTTAGGCGCTTGTCAAGGTCATTCATCAAAGACGTTTCTGCTGTTATATCTCTTCGTAGGTTCGAGGCGTTTTCTGCGGAACGACAGAAGAATAAATAAATTATCAAGAACTTACACGAGCAGAAAGTCACTAATCAATGAGAAATATTTTGCTTCTTATCATAAATTATAACAATGACGTATTGTATTTCATTGAACAGAGTTATCTACCTTTGATGTGATGCATTTCTCTCCTCCTTCTGCAGTAGAGGAGTATTCCAACGGTCATAACACACAGCGCCACTATACCAGCACAAAGGGGAATAATTATGTGCGCCTTTTCATAAAATCGCGTCTCCATTTTTCTTGCGACGTAGATAGGCATAATTGTACCTGAAACAAAATTAAACAGATTACGTAGAAAACAATTTGCGTAAAAATTCACAAAGCATTTGATGTATATTACAAAAGTTATGAATTCGAAAATATCCTACTATATCAATTTTTCAAGTGACCGGATTACGAAATAAACAAACTTATTTGGAAGTGTTAAACTTTATTTTGACTTCTAGGATATCAAATTATATAACACATTGTAAAGGGTCTTTTGTTTATTTTTTTTAAGACTGACATTTGTCAGTTAAAAAGTAACAGCTTTTCGGCAGATTTAAATAGATCTACCACTGCATGCGAAGCTCTCGCGGTAATTGCCTACTAAAAATTATAATATTATTAAATTTTAGAAAAATCAAAGTAACGTTAAGTTCTCCACAAATATCAACAAATCTAGCAAGTTAGTTGCAGTACAGAATACCTCGTTATACTTACATCATTTATCCAGAGACATATTGACGTTATAAAGAGGTTTGGCGGTAAAATGTTGTTAACATATAAACCTATTTTTTCAGAAAAAAACCGATAAAGGGACCTTGAAATATGTTAGCGGTAAGTGAGGGATAAAATTTGTGGGAGAATTTTCATTTCAGGAGGGTAATTAGGTCATACACTGTAGCAGTGATAACAAGTAGACAAAGAAATACTTACTTCCGTGGTAGGTAAGCGTGGCGAACTTGAGGTGACTTTCTGTTGACCCAGCGTCGCTGTGGGCGGTAACCACCATCATGTACCACGTGGCAGGATGCAGGTCTTGCACAGTGAAACTCGACTGAAGGAATCAATGAAACGTTTTGTTACTTATAAAGTCATTAAAAAGGTAGCTTACAACATGTGTTAAACATTGGTTATTCAATTATAACATGTTAACAAATGTTTGTTTGTTTATGGGGAAAGGGCCTAAGGACATATTATTAAGAAAAGCATTTATTCGAAGATGAAGGAAGGATAATTCAGAAAGAAATGGGTAGAATAGAGCAGGGGTATTGTAGGGCCTCCTATACTATGCAATGGTTTCTTTGGTCCTAATGTTTCCTCCTACTCCGGAATAACTGTATATAGACTTATATGATGCTGCAAATGGAAAGAAAAAACCCGCAAGCGTTTATGCTGGAACACCCGGAACGTAACTCCAGCAAGCAGCATAATGTGTTAATGTGGCCAGCTGAATGCATGAAATAGTACAAAATAGTTAACTATAAGAATAACTAAAACTAAGAATTAAAAAAAAAAATATCAAAGTGTCACCAAAAATATAATTTCAACTCGAAATCGATAAAACTATGACAAATATGAACAATGGGAAGATTTACTTGGAATAGGACCAAATGTTCCGGAAGAAAAAGCGCTTTCCTTTTCGTTAACATACACAAAATCCCCTTACCGTGTTCCTGTTAACGCTGTTGGAAACTTCGACCACCTCATCGTCGCCCCATACCTGGTACTTTACAGAGTAGAACCGGATAGGACAACCGGCAGTTTTCCATGACGTCATGTCAAGGTCAACAGAGGTTGTATTTATGGATCTGAGGAGCTTGCTCTGAGGAGGCATGATGGGAGCTGCAATTGGCAAGGCAATGTGGCGAAATGTAAACAAACCTGGCATTAGACCAATTTCAATAATTAAACAGATAGATATAGTAAAGACAAATATATTATGACCTTGTCCAACTAAATAATATCCTAATGCTCCAGAAAGTATGTTTTTTATCTGTGATAAAACATAGACATATTGAAACTTAGCATGTCGTATTCAATTGAAACTGTAAATTAACATGAATCAGGTGATTAATATGCTTTGACAACGTACGTGTAAATTCATTGTTGAAAATGGGTTCAATTTTCATATTTGTTTTTATAATACAACTACATTAACGATTGTCTAAAATGGACAAAAACTTACAAAAGCATTTCAGGTTTTTTTGATGAGATTTTTTTATGTTTTGATATGATAATAGTATATGCTTACTTGATCCATTGGTTTGGACAGTTAGTTGTACACTACTGATACTGGTACCAAGCCTGTTAAACGCCGATATATAGAACCTGTACACGGTACCACACAACAAGGCCGAGGCCGTGTACGTCCGGTTTAAGGCTCCAAGTTTCATCTTTCGCCAGGCCTCGAACTCCTTCTTATAGTTCAACTCAAACCCTGTGATACAGCAACGAGAAATTATATATGGTTTAAGTCAGGTGGTACTAACAATGCTTTGTAATACTGAGGTCAATCATCGTCCTAAGCTGTTATGATAAAACTAGAACAATTTTTGTTAAAAATAAAATGATCACTAGAAATAATACGTAACAGAACATGTATTTAAAACCTTAATTTGTCCGTGCAGAAAGTCATAAAAAGTAAACATCACTGCAACATATGGCCAATTCATGGTACTTAATGAAAAAGAATAAAATGCTTGTCTGAAGTTTTCTCAAATACATGTTACAAATACAGTTTAAGACGATAAGACGAACTGTATACATATTCCTTTAAAACATTGCCAATGTTGGCTATAATCGAACAATTTATCCTTCAACTAGCTATAGTATGCCATGGACATACATATACATGGACATGGAATGTCCGTCACTGTGTCAAAGTAAAAAAAAAAAAAAAAAAAAAAAAAAAATTTTTTTTTGGNAGGTGAGAATATATCAGTACGCGACCACTGTTTTGTATAAATAATTTCAGGTTAGTAACAGCATTTGTCTGACCTTGAATAGGGCTCCCGCCATTACTGCTTGACCTCCAGTTGACCTGTATGGTGGACGACGTTGTGGCGGCAATGAACAACTTCGGAGGTTTGGGAGGAGCTAAAAATAGATTATTTGGACAAAATGTTAAAACATGTTTTTGTTTTTCAAACAATCTAGTAATTTCATGATTATATAATAAGATCGTTCATATACTCCTTACAGATGAAAAGTGTAACTTAATTGAATTAGATCATTTAAAATCACCGAAAAGTATTTGAAATAATATATAATAAGATCGTTCATTCACTCCTTACAGATGAAAAGTGTAACTTTATTGAATTAGATCATTTAAAATCACCGAAAATTATTTGAAATAAATTTCTTGAAATTTTGAAAATCTGTAAATATAGATATATTTTGGCAATTTCTATCTTTTAATTTTCTGACAGAATAAATATCCACACTAAGCTCCGGAATGTGTATTTATGCTGGTTAGCATCCACATCATATTGCGAATTCATAATACATGACTTTGATGGTTCGTACCGTACATTTCATGTCATGCAATTCAAATAAATAACAGACAATTTTTGACAAACAAATTCTATAGATATACTAAATGAAAAAAATCAAAATAGTAATCCATTTAAAAGGTTTAAGAAAAACACGTCATAGACTGTAAGAAAATACGGGAGAAAAAGAGGATGGTGATTATTCGGAAACCACAAAACATGCAGAAGATATCCACGTCTTTTATTGTTAACGACGGAATAAATAATTGTTCATTATAATTTTCGTTTGAAAAATAGACCTAGAGCAATTATAAATGCATCTATCTTATTTACTTTCGCTAGCGACATCAGATAAAAAGTCATATTATCTGCTAATCCGGAATGACATTGAGCATGCATGTTTTTCTATATTTGAATAAAATATTGAACTTTATGAACATGCATTGTTATCATATATATATCTATAGTAACGCAACTGCTAATATCGTCGTTCTATAACTTATAATTCTGGGCATGCATTATTTCATATGGTAATATTATTTTTCTTACTTTTGTTTTTTGTAACTTTCGACTTAATTTTTTAGAAAGTCATTCTAATTTTATCAAAAGAAAAAAACGAACAAATCCGGAAGATGAAAATATTAATACTAAAGAATTAATATTTATTTTTCACAACGCAGACTAATTAATTAAAAGAAGGGGGAGTGGGGGAATGTAGTAGGGGAACAAAATGTTAAGATAAAATTTCTGTTAATCTAAAGCTATGAGTGCAACTATTTTTTATTTGTTAAAAACAAAATTCATATAAGATTTCTTTCCTTTCTTTCCTTTGCACATTTTAAATTATTATCATTATTAAATAAACAACAAACATAAACAACTGTTCATGTAGAAAAGAAAACACCACAAAAGGAAGTTGATAACCGTTAAGGATGGTATACCAACTCAACATGCTGATGGTATTTTTATTCTATCAGAAAAATGCAAGCGTTGTTGTATTATATTATTCACATTTCATATCAGTTTTCGGACATAATGAAATTCACTCATAGAGAATTGATATGAGTGAAGGTCGGTTAAAATAACCTTATACAAAAACAATACCATCAGAGTTGTCAAGAGGTTTAGAAGAAATCAGGGAAAATGAAAAAGATGACAGTATAATATCAAAATAATATCAAACTCGTCAGTACAGCTATGTTACTCACTTCCAAGTTTTTCGCTGACTGATGTTAGTAGCATTTAAAGAAATGTAAGCAATATAACTACTATATTCATTGACACAGTTAGTGTAACAATAACCATTATTATAGTGAAGATATATTACATCTTAGTAAATACTAGACCCCTAAAAACGTTTTTGACATGCGGATTTCGATTTCCAAATATTTTTTTAAACATTTGAATTGATTGAGAATTAATTTATGAAATCAAGGATTTAAGGCTTGTAAGTATCTAATATTTATCAATTTAATGTAAAAAAAAATCCAATATTCAACATCTGACCTATATATTATAACTGTTATCCTAGAAAGAAAATGAATATCAGAATATCACTTTGAAAATAACTTCATAAACAATGTTTTGTGGAGAATTCTTTTAACAATCAGTTATGTACATTTATGCCCATGCTTAGCCTCATACATAACAAGTTTTCGATAGGAGTTTTCATCCTGTACAAAATGCATAACCATTCAAATGACTATTTGTCAGAACATACACGTGCTTACAGTTTGTCATTTTCTGTTTGTACTAGTTTAAACAAAAATCCGATCCTATCAACAGGTATTAAAAAATCTTTCAATATAACAAAATCTCATACTATAACAGAATCTGGCACATTTTCATCAAATGAAATTCAATATTGATAATAAACAAGTAATTAGATGTTAGTTTTTTTTATTAGTTGTGCATGGTACAAAAGCAGCGTAAAGACAGTGACATTTGTATACACGTGACCATTCTTACCTTGTACACTGATGGCAAACACGATGGAATCAGACCCGAACACGTTCTCAGCCGTGCACGTGTAATTAGCAGCGTCCCCACCCACAACAGAGGTTATATATAGGGAACCATTCTGTAGCACCTGTATCCTGTCATTCACCACAACCTCACCGCCTCTATAGTAAGACGTAAAAACAAAGTATGTTATCAACTTATTTCACTTTTATATACAAAAGAGTATAACATTAATTTCCTTCAAATACTGTATGTATCTTGTCCCCTATTAAAGCCTCAACGCGTTTACAATAACAAGGATCCTCATTCCACAGCACAGTGATATTTCGTTTATACAGCGAGTTATTTTAACCAAAGGTACAGTTTCAGCATTTATAAAAATTACTGCAAATTGTGGAGAGAGAGAGAGAGAGAGAGAGAGAGAGAGAGAGAGAGAGAGAGAGAGAGAGAGAGAGAGAGAGAATACACTTTGAACATCTGTCGAGTTAAACCTCGTTATGCTGCCATCAATTAACCAGAGAAATATTGACGTTTTAAGGGGATTTTGCGATAAATTGAGGGAAAGTTATAAAGTTTCTCCAGGAAAAGAGCAAAGGAACGTTGAAGTATGAAGACGAGGGCCATTATATTGAAGTTTTGCTGTCATGAAGTCTTCCACCTACCTCATCATCCACTTGACCTTTGGAGCAGGGTCACCAACTACCATACACGGTAAGGTCACAGGGTGTTGCCATGGTATCGTCAATACGTCCGAGAAACTAGCGATCCTGGCCGCAACTTTAATAACAGCGTATACTAGTTAGTATATGGCATCCCTATGTCAGTCCAATACATTGCTTTATTTGATATAATAAAATACTTTTATTTAATGTCCAATGCTAAACTATTTCAGTACAATCGTATGATTACATGACCAACATAGCATATAGTAAATACACCAACTAACAGAATATAAAATGACGCCTATTGTAACGTAAGAATTAGGAAAATAAATATGCCCGTGCTACATTGCATTTAAGATTATAGAAACGACTACAAATTGCGAATTCGTTATTTGAGAATATTCACATATATTCTGCGATAAAATGATTTTGAATTTGTTTTTGTTTGATATAGAATTGCGGTAAAGGTGCGCTAAAATGGAAACTGCTACACTCCTGTCATATGTAGTAACGACAAGGACATGGATAAACAATGATCGTTTGCTTGAGGTCATGTACTGTATGTCTCTGTTAGAATATATACATATACACATTACAACATCTCCTGAAACTCGTAGAACATCCGTTTTAACATATTATCAATATCAGCAAAATATAAACATTGTTATGGTTCGGAGTGATTAATGTCAAGCATATTATGTATATTTCCAGATTCAAAACTGAAATCGCATGTGTATTCAACGTTCTTCGTTGGGTGGTATCTTGAGTACTACCTTCTCTGTAATAGGATCTTAGACCAAATATTTTGGCAAAATATCAATGTAAAAGGTGAAGACTGATGGGTGTGGTCGATGCTACTGAGGAACATAGCGGAGACTTGCAATAGCTAAAATATCAACTAGATATGTACCTTTATCTAGTGGAGAAGCCTTTGCCACATGCGTTCTCTCCCCTTCCCCGATCCGGGTCGTTGCAGATACTTGTACAAACACGTCCATGTTAACGGGAAGCTCTGACATCAGGTATGTTGTCAGGGTGGGGGTCACGTCAAGTGCAGCATCCTGGTGGTAAATAGTATATATCTTTTATAACTCATTGGTACTTACTATAATGATACTCGAGTTAGCGCATCCGGAATTTTCAGTCGCTAATTATTATAGTACGTTTACCGTTACTTTTATTGTAATAAACTTAATAAAGAAAACTTATCTTTAAGTTAATATTATTTTCCGTATTACATTAGAAGGAAACAAGTAAATAGTAGATAGCATTCCTTCTTAATTCTATTAAATGTGATAAACACTACATTTACGACTATCTACTGTAAGTATACCTCCGTTAGTGCAGTTGTAATGAAGTACATTCACCATTTAAGCAATACGCATCTTTCCTTTTTAACTTAATAAATACATCTTTCCTTTGAGTTTATACTACTTATGAAGTTTATTCATGTTTATTTAACTCCAATGAAAAACAATAAATGCTGAATACAATTCCTTCTTTACACTTTACGTACCTGTGATGTATCGGATCCATTACGCACGTATAGGGTGTACTTATTAAGTAGGCCGTTACTATGGTGAGGTGGTTTCCAAGCAACCAAAACGGAACTGGAATTAACAGGTAGGACTTTGATGTTTGCTGGTCTCTCAGGAACTGTAAGGTAGATAATACAATAATCCTGATATAATACAATCCGTATATATTTGCACTGGTCTCTCAGGAACTGTAGGGTAGATAGTACAAGAATCTTGATATAATAAAATTAGTATATATTTGCAGTATATATAACAATGTATATACGCATGAACTACATAAATGCTCATAAACGCAAATGTAAACTATTTTACTAATGTTTATATTGTACATTATAAAGTGGTACATTCTGAACAAAAACAGACTTTACCTATAGCATATGTCTTATATAATTTCGTCGTGGAGTTATCAAATTTCTTTTTACATTTAACACGTCCAGTCAGTTTAAAAGAAAAATTGAAAAAGAATGGTTAATCATACGACGGTCACGTGATGGTTATATGATGATCACATGACTTACCATCCTCTTGAGTTCTAACGTAGATTGGGTCGCTCCTGACACCCTCGCCCTTCCGTGTGTAGGCCAGTACCTGAATACTGTAGTTCGTATACTTTTGGAGGTTACTGATCGTTACTTCCAACTTGGAAGACGTCTCAATGTTAGCGTCACTTTCATCTGAAAAAGTCGTGTGAAGTCTACTGATACAATATCAAACTTATAAAACAGCTACAAGAATACAACAAACCATTTCGACGCACAACGGTCACCATGACAACAGATCAAAGATACGGATAAGCATCAACACCCGATAATTTACGATACGAATTTGCGATCGAATAGGTGAATATTGCGATTCGATCGCAAATTCGTATTGAACATTGAAGACCCTTCGATAACCGCTCAAAGAGACTTCTCTCAAGGCCAATGTGACAGAGCAGTTAACGAGGATTAAATACTTTTAGGGGTTAAATCTTGCTTTTTTTTGGGGGGGGGGGGGGTAGATTTATTGAGCTGGTTTATTAAGACCAATTCAATGAACTGCAAATGTTTTAAATGAATCATTCAGAATACAACAGTATTACTGCAAGAAATCATAGTATATATATACACCAAAACCTTTTCAACTTCCAAGAGTTTATTGTATTGCTCGTAAATTTTCGATTTCAAACGTACCTTCATCCTTCCTGACAGGTTTGTAGAGGATTCTGTATCCCTGTAGGATCCCGTGCAGTGTAAACAGAGGAGGCGGGGACCAGATCACCTTGATTGCCTGTGAATTGATGGCGTTCGCCTGGACACCCTGAGGAGGTTGACTAGGTACTAAAATATATAAAGTTTGTCAATAATGTAATCTGTGATGTATGGAATTTCACAAATCAATTTGATAGATTAATGAGGTTTTAACCTTTAAAAAGGAAACGTTGGCGGATATGTTGGCGTTGTGACTACTTAAAATGTTCGCGTGGTTTTTGAAATCTATAAACTCTATATATCTGTAATCTATGTAATCTTTTTATATATATTCGCGTGCAAATATTTTCGAACTAATTTGTTAGTATTTGCAGTAATCCTGTTTTGGAAATATTATTTTTTCATCGAGCAATTTTATCAAAAATATTAATGATTTTTTATTTTATTTAAAGATAACATATTGGTTAATTTACATGTGATTCGGGTATGTATTGAACGAGTGTCATTTCAGTGCGTTGCGTTATACCTACCCAGGAATAACGCACTGAAATGACAATCGTCTAATTGGTACACATTTCCGATCTAAAAGTAAAATTGTGTACTTACCATCTTCAAGTGTGAACACGCTGTAGTCAACAGACTTGGGACCCTGACCCATGTCGTTGTACGCCTTGATGTGAACGGTATACTCCGTGAACTTCTCTAGGTTGTGGATGTCAAGAACGGGCTCAAACTCTCCCTCTACAGCCTTGGTAATGTAAATAAACCGGGACGGACTACTCGTCTCCTTGTACCCAATGTAATACCCCTTGATTACTCCATTTCTCTCCGACTTTTTGGGCGGCTGCAGTAAGAGTAAATGGATGTTTGTTATATATCCCCAAAACAACCATATCACACTCCCAGAACGATGTCTGTCATGCTTATTTAGTCGTTTAAACAACACAAACTGACATCATTTGCGTACTCCTTATCTTATTGACGGTATTGGAGTACGGGCAGAAAGGCTAGATCCCTTCATTTTAAGAATATTACCAAAAGGCTTTTTTTATTATATTGTAAACATCCTCTATTATATCTAGTCCGAATATATATGATTTAGGTATTACCAACAGGTAAGTGTTGTGGTCCAGGGCGTGACTGTATTGTTCTTCGGCAGAATATATATAAATATGATAACACTCTACCTAGTTGGTAGGTCGTCTCAACGCGGTTCAAAAACTATTATCCGTGATTATAGGGCCTTTGCGACAAGCAAATATCTTTCCCAACTCCCTGGGGAGCATACAGCTAGTGTTGCCATTTCGTCGCTCACAGCTAGCATGCAACAATTCTAGCACTGCCCAACCACGTACTCATTTACAGCTGAGTAGACTGGAGCAAGCGGAGTAAAGTATCTTGCTTAAGGATACAACACACTGCCGTGCCGTGACTCGAACCCGCAACGCTTCGGTCACGATCCCGGCTTCCTATCACTAGACTACCCTGTCTCTGTATCGCTGACATTCCGACAAACTTACCATCCATAAAATCTTCAGAGCCTCTGAGCCGATAGCCTTGATCTGTATTTTCTGGGGCGGTCCGGACGGTCTTTCCTCATCCATGGCGACTGATATTTGCTCGCTGGGCAGTCCGAACCCGACGGAGTTATTGGCCCTGACTCTGACGTAAAAGACGTACGCGGGGTGAAGGTCGGTAAGGGTTGCTGTCAGGAATTTGGACTCGACCGTAACGTTAGGGAGGACTCCCTGCCATACACCTAGACACACAAAACAAGTAAAATAGTAACTGAAGTGTCGATAAATATTCATGCTGTTTGGTTGGACTCGTGTTTAATCCGGAAACATGCTCGATATATTTTTCAAATCACAATATACTCGTGGTAATCCTTTGAATATTTTTGACAATACATTATTTATAATAATTAATTTTACCTAAAATAATGACAATTGCATATGTACGTTTGCAACAAAATTTCCATAATTGTGGTAATATATGCCAGAACAAAATTTAAAAATTATAAATAACAGCAAAATATAATTTTAAATTTATAACTTTGGCATTGTTTCCTTGCCGTTTTGTCTACCTGAGGAGTTGATGTACTCGATGCTGTAGTAAAGGAGGGGCGTGTTTCCGTTATAGGGCTGTGACCAGGATACGGTGAGATTCCGGCTCATCACCTTCACAAGTGTCAGGTTAGCCGGTGGTTCGGGGGGCTCTACAAAGACAAAATCACAATACATGTAAGTATTACACACAGAGTGTACACATTTACGTCACCACGAGCCCATTGTCTCAGAAACATACTGTAAAATCATGAATTTTCGTGGGGCATTCAATTTCGTTTATTTCGTGGATAACAAAAATCCACGAAATTAAATCCCCACGAAAACATAAATTTAGTATGATATAGATAGGGGAAAATCGGAAATCAGCGAAATATAATGTCCTTGAAACAGGCTAGTATATGAAAACCACGAAATTTTAACCCCACGAAAATAATTGATTCTATAGTACTATCGTTTATTGATATTGATTAAATTCTGCAACGTGGGGATCGTCTAAACTCTTACTATTGAGAGTCGGTATCGCATCGGGGAAGCATGGCAACGCCAATGTTCACTAATCATCAGTATATAATAAGCTTATAAGAGTTGCCTCCCCTATGCCAGTTGAAAACATTGACTGTCGGTTAGTGAAGACTCATAAATCAATTAAAACCGTAGTTTTACTTACCTAAGACAGTGAGTCTCATCGACTGGACGCCGTTTCCGAATTTGTTTTTGGCAAAGCATACGTAGAACCCAGTGTCTTCTCTCAGAGTAGGATGTAGGGCCAGAGTAGACAGCTTACCCCGTGTCGTGCTAACAGTCTTCATATCTCGCCTGTAATATATTAATAATAATAATTCGAGGTTCTTATATACGGCTTTATCACAATTTAGTTCGTAGGTCGTCTCAAAGCGGTTCACAAATTATTCTCCGTAGTTATAGGGCCTTTGCAACCAGCCAATACCTTTCTCAACTCCCTGGGGAGCATACAGCCGGAGCTGCCATTTCGGCGCTTACAATTAGCATTCAACAATTCTAGCACTGCACGTACTCATTTACAGCTGAGTAGACTGGAACAAGCGGAGAAAAGTATCTTGCTCAAAGATACAACACAGTGACGTGCCGTGACTCGAACACGCAACCCTTCGGTCACGAGCCCGGCGTCCTATCACTAAAGTACAGTGCCTCCTATACAACAGTATTTGTTCAGTCATGTACTGAATCACAAAAACGCATATAGACATCGATGTCACTAAGATAAATTGTATCTAGTTGAAGACCGATTTCTTTAAAATGATTGCGAAAATTACCTACTTAATGCAATGAAATGGATATAGCAGTTAAACTGTAAAGATGTGATTCGGTTTGAAGATATATATTGCTGAAAACATTGGACAACGGCTATACTATAATTTCTTACAAGTAAGTAAGATTCTCTATAAACGTACAATACAAAATGATACTTTTGAGTAATATGCAGTATAATCGATAGTTATATTATTTCTAAGCTGGACATCAAATGCAGTAAGGTGTACCACATATCAAATATTTAATATACGTTTTTTTGTACATAAATAGTAAAATTCAAACTTAATATATGCAGGGTTTTTTTGTTCAGTAGAATTCACAATTTAGGTTTGTTATTGAATCTAAGGCAAATTAATAATTTAAGCTTGAGACTGGGATATTTTTGGTCAAGATTGTTATTCATTTAGATGTAAAATGTTTTCACTGGTCACAGCTTACCTGGGGTTTGGTAGCGTACTCAGCTGTTGTCCATTGAAGCTCCACGTAACCGCCAGTGGTTTATCTCCAATAGCCTGACAGTCCATAGTAATGTTATGGTCGCGTCTAACTGTGTAGTTTTTCATGTGACTGTCGAACCGGGCGGGAACTGTAAATAGTAAATAATTGATGTAATACAGAGTATATATTATTCTAAAATATATATATTTCCTACTAGCTGAACAGTCAGCGTAGGTGCAAATGCTAGTTGGGATCTTGCATGAAGGCATGAATCACTTATAAATAACTTCTTTGAATGGTTCTCTTATAAGAATAACTGCCAACAAGGGGCTGAGAGTACTAACAACAAATGAACGTGGACCATGAGATACACTTCCTTCATTTTTACTTGCAATTATATATTGTTGTGAAATATGTATCAATAGACAATTTTATTTAATTGTTCTACATATTATTTTAAATAAAAAAGAAGCGATTTCCCAAGAACTCCTAATATTATACTTACTGTGAACGGTGAGGAAGATGACTTTGCTGAGTCCCACTCCGACTCTGTTGTCTGCATGACATAGATAGTAACCATGATCTGATTCTTCGGATTCCCGGATGATCAAAGTCCCGTTGCTAAGCAACTGCATCCGGTCGGTAGCATTCTCAGCATCATCCTTGAGATACTCCAGAGCCATGTAGTTACCTGGTTTGGTACCTGTCACAGGTCATAAGGTCATAAGTAGTCAAATTGTAGTAAATTGCAGTCAAACAACAAAATGGCACTTCCTCCTTAGGATACCCTTTTTATGCAGAATATTTCATTATTTATCTGATTTTGACAATCATTAAAAGAATTAGGGAATTGCTCATATCGGTATATTGAAATACATCACAGGAGTTGATTCGTCAAATAAACGAATGTATTTTGCATGTTAGCATCGCAGTATAATCAATGCAAAATATCCATGTTAACATTAATTAAATGTTATTGATGAAAAATTATTAATGTCAATATCATTATTAACATTTTACTGCATTTGACCGTACATTTTTTATGAATATCTATAAAATTATATATAAAGTATTCGCTTTAACTTAAGTATCATTTAATTTTAACAACGATTGTTAAACAGTATATGTTATAATGCTCGTATCTTCTACGAGATGATTTAATGAAAGAAGGATTCATAGAGATATTTTTTTTCAACAGTTTTGTTACCGGCAGCTTTCATCCACATTATGTAGGGACTAGGGGTTCCAGCTGTCAGACAATCAAGGGCCACCGTTCCTTTCAGGATCACAAACGAGTCCTCAGGCTCAATTATCCAGCGTGGCGGAACTGAAACAAAAACATAGTCCTACAGACACTGAAAAGGCAACAATAACTGTGATTGGAAATTTTCGCTTTTCGATCCTCCCTTTGTACCAAAACTTATGTAGGCGAAGTTGCTGCAGTATCTGTTTCATCGGATATCAATGTCTTAAATTTTCGCGTTGATTTATTAAAACTAAAATTATAGAAAATTGCATAATTACAGTTTATGTTTTCTTAATTTAATATTATTTGGTTCATAATTATAAGCAAACTGTTTGTTATTGTTTATCAAATAAGTTATCTAACGAACGTGTGTTACTTAGGTTGAACCATTAGATGCAACATCGTATAAAAAGATGTTACATTCTTTTTAACAAAAGAACGGTTACTATGTAAACAAATATGGTGAAATCATTAAACTAAAATAACAGTTTTTTCAGACGCATTAATAATATTTTATTTGCTATCACAAAAATAGCCTACGCATCATTTTGGCAAGACAAATGTCTCCCTTCGATGTTTTATCTGACTAACAAGTGTATATAATTTCAAACATCGATCGAACATGATCACATACCATCCACGTGTAGAGGGGCGGTAAAGTTGACCCCGGCGGCGTCATTCTGTGCCTGACAGGTGTAGTTGCCGTTATGGGTGGGGCTGACGTCACCAATGGACAACATACTACTGTAACTGCCAACCGTCTGAAAACACAACACATACGAAACAATAGGCAATGTCTAATTGTATACGCCCGGAAGTGTATATTCTTGATATGAATAGCAACTGGAGCGGTATGAACTTACATAAAAACATTCTTTAACAGCTGAAGTATTTTGGAAGAGTTATCTTTCTTCCCTCTATTCGTTGGCAAGATAAACGTAAAACAAAAGTTCCATACATGAATACACCGTTATTTGTAATTTCGTTGCCAAGGAAACGTACCGTGATGGTGATTCCCATGTCCGGAGGGATCTCTTCGCCGTCCTTCGTCCACTTTATTTCTAAGGGCTGGTCACCACTACTGACCACACAGGACACCACAACGCGGTCCCCCTGCTTCTTACGCGGGAAGTTGAACGAGTCTATCTTCGGTGGTTCTACGAATTGTAGAATACATACAATTTAAATACCGTCACTATATGACGTTTTTTTGTAATGGCGAGCCGTAAAACGTTAAACCTTATAATAACACAGCCTAAAGAAGTAGGACTGAAATAAATGGCGTCTAGTTCAACAAAGGAGAACTCAAAATCAATTGCATTGACATCCATTCCTATTGATAGTAAGACTACCGTCAAATACATGAACCCGGCTTAAAATTAAACATCTATTTAAAATAAGTTGCTACAGTGCAAAAAAGCAAACGAATCTTCATTTGAAGGCCGATGTATGCAGAGATATTTGGGGAATATTAAATAGTAATGTAGTTCTCAAAGGCAGGTGAGTCATAGATGATGCCGATTTTGCAGTTTTTTCACTCTTTATTTCGGTGTTCCGAGTAGCAGTGCTTACCGAGTACAGTGATAAATAGACTGCTACCATTGCCTTGTCCATCCCCATTCTTGGCAGTACACGTGTACTGACCGATGTCTTGGTATTTTTGGACCTTTTTGATTGTCAGCGTTCCGTTGACGACATCCTGAAGATGATTCCGGGGCAGGACAAAGCCACCTTGTCAACACAAGTACATAAAATGTATTACTACAAGATGACAAGGTTGTCAATCCCGTTGTATTGTGCGCATAGGTGACAACTCAAGCCTGTTAAGTAACCAATTATATTGTAATTACCCATGCATGTGTCGACAGAGGAAGTTAAAAGCAATATTAGTATTTGATTTGACTTAAAGGTGTTAATATAATCAGGAGATATATTTAGTCTTAGTACCATCCATGATATTGCAGCGCTCTCAAATTCTAGCAAACTCTGTTATACAGATTAGTACATTGACGTATATGTGCGAACACAACATAATAATATTAATAATAATATACAATATTTGATATAGCGCCCTACCTAGCTAGAATAAGCCACTCTAGAGCGATTAACAGCACCTAGATATACTATTAATACAATCAATACAATAAGAATATACATTAATCAATACAATTTTGAGAACTTCGCAGGAGCTACCTTATCAGGCGCTAACTACTAGTCCTATGCCACCTGGCTAATATCTCCCTATGTCTGTATACCTGCGTGTGTGCTGGAGATGTATTGTACATACAAAATGTATGCAATAGCAAACGATATATGCCATAGAAACGAACATACAGGACCTTAAACCGCTAAAATAAGACTACCAATAAAATATATTCGTTCACAGTACCACAATTAAGACACTTTATCCGTAGAGATGTCCCAACAATTTTAAGAAACTGCAATCTTATAACTGTTTATTATTGCAAAGTTATTGCTCGATGCTTTTACATAAACTGCAGAATTTTACATTAGAAAATGAAATTAATGATATGTCAGCACTACCATTACTTAATAAAATAATTTATATGGTAAGATATCGTTATATTTTACCTTTTGACCACTTGATGGACTTCACCGGATAACCAGCGACATAGCACCTGATGGACAGTGGTTCTCCGGCCGTAGCGGTCAAGTTTTGCATCTTCCGCACATAAGGGATACCTTGATTAAAATGATGTATGCCATTAATCTTAAAAAATTTTAAACTGACAACAAGACAACATTATTTTTTAACTAAACACTTCGTAAGAGTGAATATTCTTTTTTACATTAAGGATACTTATGATTCAAACGTTTATAAATATTGATATGTAACGATGTGGTAGAGAGATAGAAAATGCAAAGAACATTGACACAAAACAACACTTTACTTCATGCTACTGAGGCACACTACACAATGATAATGAGTTTTCCTTGCATAGTATATTGACATTTATGGCTACTCTCCAAGCGTTCTAAACATTTCGACGAATATAACATTATACCGCATGGTATTAAATACTTGGAAATAAAGTGATAATTATGGAAAAGTAAAACTCTATTATATATTTCTAGTTGATTATATATATCCCATAACTTCTTATTATTATTCTACGTCCTATATATAGTCCACGTCGTCATCCCTACAGTATAATGCTATCTTTTCTATTCACCAAATACCCCACATCACCACAACAACTTTGTTACATATTTTCCCATTCACCATTTAGCCAAAGACATCATTGCAGTATTAAAGTATAATTTAATTTTGCCTCTCTCCCACATAATATTTGTTTTGGTATATATCGTGTATACCTAAAAAGAAAAACAACTGATGACGGAACTACTTTTTACAGTTCAGAATGCAAAATTACAACGCAGCTTTTTTTTAGCGCAATTGTTTAGTTTACGTAAGAATTAAATAAATCTTTAACTGTGCATTGACAACGTGTTTGTCTACATTTGTTAAATTAAATTATAAAGAATGCCCATAACAGCTTTATCGTGTATTTTCTATTGACCATAGACCATAATATCCTATAGCAGTATTACATCTGTATTATATTTTTTCCCATTTTTTCAGATACAGCAACATGACAGTGCCTTGCTCATTGACCTGTTTCACGTCTTCTTGAAATATATCCAAGCATTCACATAACAGGTGCTGATGTGAAAGTTTTTGTTTCGTGATTCACATTGTTTTAGTTGTGTTAATGGCAGTCATCTAATTAACATAGAAATGTGATAATTCTAAAAAAAATATAACCGTCATCTAACAATATCTGCTTAAGGAAAACAATACAAAAATATAAGATTTTGCACGAATTTTTTGGATGTCTACGGCTCGCAAACGCGTTAAAAAATAAATTGGTGTTAAATTGGTGTTAAAGTTTTTTTTCTTTTTTCTTACTAATATAATATACCCATAACTTTATGTCAATCATGTTCGAAGTCAAGAGAGATAATAAACTAAAGACATACATTTGTTGATTAAGCATAGTCGTTGTTTATATTTATATAGAAACACCATCAGGAATTGTCTATTGTATGGAACATATTCTGAACAAATAATAGTTTAAAAAAACATATTTCGATGATAATGATAATAATGGCAAATCAGAATATCTAAACGTTAAGATATTGAACTTGATTGATGATCTGTAGAAGTCCTTTTATTAATATTTCATACATTTAAAATGACTGATCGGTTATGAGACGTCCCATTCATAACTGTTTGTGGTAAATAGATTGAGACGCCCCCCAACCACAAATCATTATGCCTGCGCCATTATCACTTTAACACAACAACGTGATAGATTAAGTTCGCGGGTGATCGGGTTCGAATACCGGCCGATAAGGGGCCGAATCATAAAGAAGGTTTTGATCAATTACTCTGATAAGGTTTTGGCACGTCAACATGCCATTTGGCACTTTTTATGAGATTACAGACGCCATATTTATGTGAAATTCCCGCGATTTTTGTTCGCACGGGAAGTCGGTGATCAGGGTTATCGCGCGCTCGAGGTGAAACAAGTCAACGGGACGGCTTTCAATGAGTGTAACCATTTTCGTACTTTATTTTGATAATTGTTTAAAATGTGTCAGATCTATGAGCATGCTAACCTTTTATATAATTCAAGAAATCATGAAAAGCAAATGTTCAGTTTATGCTAATCACTTATTTGATGGCATCCAATGACTGTTAATCAATTTGCAACCTGTTCATCCTTTCTTGAGCCCCTATTTCCCCGTTGGGAACCCCTGCATGATAAGGCCACGTCACCACGTCAATGATTTGTTACATAACTTGATCACATTTAGTTTTTGTTGCAACGCAAATTGTATTTTTATAACTTTTTTTCAGATTCAGTTGACATGACATGGAAAATCAATCAAAGCGCTGACAGCATATCGCAGGGACATTTCCCGTGTGAAAATCGAAATAAAAACGTCTCAGTATCCTGTGGACCTAACATTGATATGTTAACCGATGGGTTTTATTGTTTTAGTTTCGTTCTTATAATAACAATTTGTATCAATATTGAACACCGATAAATCTTTCCAATCAACGGCATGAAATGTTGCAATCATATCTAAAAATATCAGTTTATTTATTACGAAAACAATTAATATGAAAAGTTACATTTTTCTTTCAATTATATACAATTATGTTGCAACCTTTCAAAATGTAAATATGTTGGTGAAGAAATAAATAAATGTAAGAAAGCGATTTATTTGGCTTATTAATCGATCATTACTCTGAAGATCGCAATTCTGTGTAGAAGCTTAATTTCCTTTTGTAGTGTAAACTGAAACTAGAAAACAGCAATTCGCTTTTAGATAGTAGCATTCCTTGTTTTCTTGTTTAATTGTCCTCTCTACAGTATTTGTATCAGGAAAAACTGGCAATTTAGGCATGACGTGATATGATTTATGATTTTATTCCGTTTAGGGTCAATTCGGGGATGTTTCTTACTAGACAGAGGAAACACGTTCTTCATCCCCACGAAAGAGTCCAACATTTACCAAATTTATCCGATTATTACACATCGGAACATTTCGTACCATGCGACATCAAAATCTACCACTTAAAATTCCGAAATCATTACAGAAGTAAATGTAACAATAAGTATTTCACTTATTCATTGACCAAATGCTCTTTATGTCAGTTCAATTTGCAAGAAGGCAACTTCATATGAAACTGTTTCAAATAATAAAAAGATGAAAAGGGTACTTAATTTTATATTTTGGAGAAGAATGGCATTCTTTTTTGTTTTCACGTTTGGCCACTTAAAATCGATCCAATTTCAATCGAAATGAAAAACTCTGTGAGTTGTTTGCCAAACTAAGTCGCCTCTTCCACATATAAGACGCATTATCGGTTATGGAAACTACCTGCCGGGTGAACTATCAATATCCACTTATAGGGGTCCCCGTTGGTCTTGATATTGACAACATTCAAGCTGTTTTCATGATCTAGGCTACATAAAAATTGCATATTCAAAAACAATTTTGGTTGCCGCTGATTTGCATGCGATAAGACCCACGAACCATTGGCAGATTTGAGGAGATCTGTTTCCGATATAAATCGAGGAAAATGGTATTAAAATGACAGAATCAGGAGATTTCCGGCCTATTGTTACGAAACTATAGAATCAGCTTTTCCATTTATCGGATAACTAACTCGTATTGACATTTTGCACGTGGTATCATATCGATTGGCGGGCAAACAGCATGTCGTTAACAATTGTTACCAGCAATAAATTCGAGAAAACTGTCGTCAATCTCTGCTAAATTTTCAATGGTGTTCACACGTCAAAATATTTCCACGGCTTTGTTTTAAATCAATGTCTGTATATGTAACGATATAGCGCCCTCTCTCGGAGGATTGGGTAATTAGTTAACAGGCTGTGTGTCGTCTGCTCGTTATCATCAGGACTGGTTCCAGTTTCAACTAATTGTTTGGTGGAGCAAGAAACGCGATGATAAATTTTTGTAAGAAGTTGGTGAAAATCATAGAAAGTTAAAAATGCATCGAACTTTAGACACGTATGACTTCACAGTAAAAGCACAAAATCGAATGATTAAGTGGTTTTTTTTTATATATATATAATTGTATAATAATAATGAATAGTCCAATTATGACCTTAAACAAAAACATGTTTTTTTGTGATTTCATTGATTCAAAACAAAGTGTTTATGAACGATGTTTTCTGTATCTATTTGAACAAAAGATGTAAGGTATGGTAAGAAATAGAGCCCAGAACCTCTATTTATGTAGTTAGGAAAGCAACGTTGATATCGGTTCATGTTCATTTGTACCAAACGTACAACGTGTTATAAACTAATATTTTAATGTTAGCAATGCCAGAAAATATTCCAGTTACAAAGTAACGGCGATCTAAAGGATTTAAAGCCCACGAACATATTACATAATATTTAAAAATAAGCAAATTTCATTTTTTCAAATACAACCTTTTACAAATTTTGAAAAAGTTTCCTTATGGTTTCAAGAACCTTTTATCAAAACGGTAAAAGATAATTGTCATTGACCAAACGATATAATAGGAAAGGTAATTAAGAAATAATAAACGTCTATATGACTTGTCTCGGTTACTATTCTATTTCTCGAAATGTTAATTAGGCGTTTGTTATGTTCTAGTGATAAATTGCTCGGGTGTAGGGTATAGCTGTAAAAATGTATACAAACCTATCAACAACACCATGTTTGAAATGTTAAATCTACCATTTCTGATAATAAATAATAATAATAATTGGAGGTTCTTATATACCGCTTTATCATAACCTAGTTCGTAGGTCGTTTCAAAGTGGTTCACAAATTATTATCCGTGGTTAAATGGCATTTGAAACCAGCCAACATCTTTCTAAACTTCCTGGGGAGCATACAGCCGGTGCTGCCATTTCGGCGCTCACAGCTAGCATTCAACAATTCTAGCACTACCCAACCACGTACTCAAGCAGAGTAAAGTATCTTGCTCATAGATACAACATAGTGCCGTGCCGTGACTCGAACCCGCAACCCTTCTGTCACGAGCCCGGCGTCCTACCACTAGACTTAAGTGCCTCTGAAGACCATTTGAGATCATTTTAATGAGGGTAAGACAGACTGGTTATTCTTTATGATCTGATTCATTCAGCGCAAATCTCATTTTGTGAATTGATTAGAAAGAATGTTTCCGGATACTGGTGACCGTCCCTCGAGAATTAGACTGACGTAGGTCAGTGATACACTGAACACCTACTCTTTGTTGGGCTGGGAATAAATGGAATATCATCTCGCGCGCCGTACTAACACATGGCCACTTTTAGAATATTGTGCCACAATAGTGCCTGTAACGAAGGAATTCCCCTGTGGTTCTCGTCACGATCACACGGGCCCCAGGATACGAAACTAAACGGGACAGCTCTTGTAACGGGCACCAATTCCTGTATCCGAGTCGCATTTGATTAGCTACCGAGTACAGACGGGTCAGTAACGTCGATGAAATTAATGAATTTGATTGTTATGTTAGAGTATCTCGCCAATAGTACTTGACTATGTTATGGGTAGCGCAAGAACAAAGATAAATTCTGTCGCCTGAGCTAATATGTTCAGTAGATGAAATTATGATATAACGCAATTTTTATCGAGGAATGTCTAGCACAATATCAAACTTGGGTGCTTATAAATCGAAACATTGATGAAATTCAATGAAGAAGACGAGAAGTTATACTGTCAAACGAAAATAAAATAAAACGTTTTGGAAAAAGGAAAGTCAAATCGAGTCAGAACACATGCATTCGAATGTTGACATCGTCTTATTACTGTAAATGCAAAATGTCTTTAAAACACACCCCGCATTAAAATTGAAGCTTTATCAGCAATGATATCATAACGTCAGAATCCATGAATGCTTTAAGTCAAAAGTTATTATAATCATATGTGAAATACAGCACAACGAAAAAGGTGCCAATGAAACCCTTTATCACGTAATGAATCTACAACTTTTAACTACAACAGTTGTAGTGTTTGATGTAAACTTTGACAAAATCAGTTTCTGTTACGATGTTACGATCAACATCAGGTACTGAAAATCAAAAGGCAGAGTGAACCACCCTAATGCGTAAAACAATCACTACAAATAGGAAAACATTATGATTTATCTCACCCAGGATATTTTTAGATCATTTTCACGCTAAATATAAATAAACCCTTGTTATACTGCCACAATATTTCTTTAAAAAAGTAGCATTATAAAAAGGGTTTTGCGATAAATTGAGGGAAACTAAAAAAAAGATTTTTTAGGAAAAAAGAAAAACAAATGCCATAAAATATGTTGGCGGTGAGCGAGGTGGAAAATGATAAAAGGGTCATTATATCGATGTTTTAAAACATCAGCCTCTTACCGTAGACGTTGATTCTGCCCGTGTAAGATATAGTTCCGACGTCGTTACTAGCCGTACATGTATATTCACCACCGAACGTGATTTGTACACTGCTGATGTTGACGTAGCTAACCACAATCCCCAGAGAGTCCATGGAGCTGCCCGCGTGCACATTGGGATCATCAGGTATTGCGGCGCCATCCAAAGTCCACGTCACGCGTGGTGTTGGGTTTCCCGCCGCTGTACAGCGTAACGACGTCCTCTGACCGTTCAGCACAAATTGGTCGACGAAAGTATCAATAAAGGAAGGGTGAGCAGCTGATGGAGATAAAAAAAAAAACATAAAAGAGAATGTCAATAAATGCTCTTTAGTTTGGTTGGTTGGTTATGTAGGGTTCAACGTCCCGTCATAAACAAAGGTCATTGAAGGACCGTGTCTCCATGTGTGTTGTTTATGCGTGCGGGTGTATGTATGTGTGCCGGAGACAGGATATGTTCGTGTTTTTGCCTCCTTGTGATAGCGCGGATAACCAGATGTATTGAAGGAATCTCGAATATTAATAATATCTATTGATTTATATAGACATTCTTACGACTAATTACTGTAAAAGTGTATATTTCGCGGTGAGGAAATGATAACGGGTGTTCGGTTATGAGTAAATTAGCGCGAAAATATCAACACGCGAATATTCGTTCTAGATTATATCGTGTGATAACCATTGCAAATGCAAGAACGTCCATACCGTGATTAGTTTTAAGAGTCATAACGCGAAAATTGTCTCACGCAAGAATTTTAAATTTGACAGTATTATGGATAATGTTAAGGGAAATTGTACATTTTAATATAAACAAAATTGACATTTTTTTCCTAAAATTTCAAAATTGATTTATAATTTAACACAATATAACAAGATAAAAAATATTTGTTTTACAGTAAATATGTAAATTTGTTCTATATTTAGCGTACATCCGAGCAGAAGCTGTGACGTCCCCTGTGAGCTGGCCTCGTCATTGGTCACAATGCACTGGTACATTCCTTGATCCTGACGACTGATGTCAACAATCTCTAACACTGTATCTGATTGGATGGAAATCCTGTCGTCAGCAACCAATAGCTCTCCGTTCTTGTACCACGTGATAGATGTAATGGGATAACCCGACACGGTACAGTTGAAAACAGCTGTCTGTCCGGAGTCAATCATCTGTGTCGGCGGGTCAATGTACGTTATAAGTGGGGCTGCAAGAGATGAATTATAACATTATATCAATCTTGTATACTAAATATTAAACCATACAGTATCAGCAACACAAGGAATATCATTCAAGTTAAGAAATATTTAACACTAGTATCACATTACATTTATCAATTATGGACATTTGTTGAGTTGAATACGTGTTATATGAACCTGATAAAGCCATAGTGACCTAGACGAAGTATAAAGCACATATTCACATAAAGAAAAGTCCTAAATTCTATCATTAGATAAACAAGATGGATGGTAAGCCAATCATCAAGAAAAAAGGTACTACATTTGACAGAGAACTTTTTGATGCGCAATTTAATTGACGTCATAATGTGAATATTGACCTAATATTTCTAAACTAGTAACACCGAGTTAATATAACAAATGACTGACCTCCACGAGAATATGATTCAACCAATGACAATGTAGGAAAATGATATCTTTTAATATTGATTAATAGTGAGAGGTGCTGCTTTATAGATAACTTAGAGTTAAGAAAGCTATTCATAAGGTTAGCTCAAGAAGTCAAACAAAGTAATTATTTTCCGTTTTATCCCTTTTGAAATTCATGCCTAAAGTGGTCCAATATATATATATATATAAACCAATCAGGATGTAATAAGTGCCTCACAACCTCTTTATGGTGTTTTATATCAAAAGAGTGCCCTAACAAGAGATAATTTATCTATAAACTAATATGTTGATGTTAACAATGCCGGAAACCATTCCAGTTACAAAGTAACGGAGATCTAAAGGATTTAAAGCCCACATATAGCCTACATAATATATAAAAATAAGCAAACTCCATTTTTTCAAATATCACCTTTTACAAATTTTGAAAGATTTTCCTTTTATTTTTAAAACGGTAAAAGATAACTGTCATTGACCAAAACATATTTTTATCATTCTGTCTTCGACTTGTCCCTTATTTGTTCTTCTGGCTTCTTCGTTTTATTTTGTCTTTGATAAATTGTTATGTAAATGAACAACTGTGGTAAAAGATTTTCAGATACGGTTAGGGTTTGTCTTTGTTTATTCAAGGAAAGACTCTAGCAGTAAAACAAAGGCTAGAATAATTTACTGCAATGATATATTAGCCTTGGTATACAAAATGTAATCAAAAACTGTGTCTCTCTCCGCTAAAAAACGCCTGCGCAGTTAAACCTACCGGTACGAAATATACGAGATTGGGGAAAATTGCAGACGACAGCGAAACCTAAGAATTGTCTGAGTTGAACTTTAAACAAAAATATAGGAATGTTTCCTCTACTACTGTCAGTACTTCGGATTGTGTATTAGGACAGACTCTAGCACGCGACAAATTAGCGCCACCTATCGGTAGCTGCCTGGTACTGATGTTTCACGTTTATGAATTGTCCTCGACAAGCTTTAACAGCTTGATGCACGTTCCTTAGATCTCAAACGTTTTGAAGTCTTCTTTTTTTAAAGAACAAAATCGTTATCATTACGTTCCGTTAACTAAGAATTGTTCAAATGCACTATTAAATGTATTTGAAATTGTGTAAATTGAAGTTTATATCAGCTGGTCTTTGTAACTTCTCACTAGCGTTAAGCTGTGAGTTTGCGTCGTAGAAACTGTTTGCCAATTCGCAGTTGACCTGAGAGTTATTCTACACCTCATAAACGGTGGCAGAAAATGAATATTTTTTCCTACACGGGAAACCGTGTAAAAGAATCGATCGAAGAACACCTAATTGGGGAAAGTAAGAAACGGACTCTATATTGCATTCCAAAAACACAATATTTGCTGGCGCTTAATCGTTTTTCTAAAATAAAAACTTGTAAATTTGTCATTACAATTCGAGGGAAAAGCTTAGAACGCCAATAAGTTACAGCACTCCAATGAAACTTTTAAGGTTTCCCTAAATCGTTTTTGTCGAAAAAAATGTCCACAAAACACTATTAGCTACATAATAGGATGTAAAAGTGTAGTAAACAATGAGAAATAAGTGGAATATTAACGATCGTGTATTAGAACAATTAATTAAAACGTTCCAATTTTAAAGTTAAATGGCCACACCATCTGTTTGTATTTTGCTCTATGGTTTTAACAGGCTGTACTTACCCCAGTGTTTGTACCGAGAGTAACAAATTACACCTAATTACCATCATTAATTAGCTATTAACGTAAATTGAGTACTAATAACCATAAGGTAAATTAAACAGAAAATTTAATTTGCAGCGGAAAAATAATCAGCCGGCTGTAATTTGCTTAAGTGGTTACATGATTTGTATAGTTGTTTATACTCCCAATTAACACTTTGGTAATACGAGTTTAAGGCCCCGTCTAATTGGGGGGAAATTTATGCGTGCATTACGCATACTATAACAGAATTGGGAGTACAGAAAGGCTCACTTTATGAGAGAGTTTTGGGATATTAAATAACCTTTTTTGAACGAATTACACGCTAAACGGATTTGGAAGCATTCTTATCATTAAATAAAATATTAATGAAGTTCTATCTACAGCAAAGACAAAGAGTCAATTTGTTTTAACTTTCTCATAAAGAGAATTAATAAAGAGCCTAGTTTGATGCTTGTGTGAATTTCGAAATTTCTGTTTTCAGGTCGACAGTGTAGAAAAGATTGCATGTTGCTGCAATTCTGTAACTGACTTACCATCTGTTAATGTTGACATGTTAAAGGGTTTTTTCTTTGATTCTTATGACCTATATTCGTCAGCTGACGACCTGCTTCAACGTAGAAACTATGGGGAGAAACGCAATAGAAAAGAAGAAGACGACACTGATGGAGGTACCAAGATTCAGTTTGAACGGTGGTTACTACAACAGAGGATACAGAAGACCACTCCCGATTCTGTAGGCGCCCCCACCAGTGTCAGAAGGATATAAACAATAGGACTTACATCCCTCCAAGCCTATCCCTATTCCTCTAAGTCCCAGCCCTAGCCCCAGTCCCTATCCCAGTCCCTAAGCCCCAGCCCTAGCCCCAGTCCCTATCCCAGTCCCTAAGCCCCAGGCCTAGTCCCAGTCCCTATCCCAGTCCCTATCATCAGCCCAAAAAACATTTGCAGATACCATACACGAATGCCTGGTCATTTTAACTAGTAATTGATACGTACAGGTAACGATGAGCTCGGTGACGGCTGTGGCTGATCCATGTTCGTTAGACGCATTACATATGAAGTGACCACTGTCCCTCACCGTCGCCGTATTGACCACCAAATTACCCCCTTTTTGGACAAAATGGGTATTGTCAATGACAACGCTTGTCGTGGGAGAGTTCATGTGCCAGCGGTATTTCGGTAACGGGTTGCTACTAGCGACGCATGGGATTTCAACAGCTTCACCTTCTTTGACCTTGACTGTTCGTGATACGTCATCCATTGTTGGGGCCATCCAGCCGACAGGAGGATCTGAAATACACCGTATTATTAATATTTCCAAAGTGCTCTGGTTATGATAAGTTACAACAAACCATTGCATAACAGTTTGTATGTTAGGTATATATTTTTCCAAATAATATGCACTCTGACTGCGCAATATTTTCGCTATCTAATTATCGTTCATGATTGAAGTAGAAACGAAAAGTAGTTCTGTGAGATAAACCTACCATGAACGGTGAGATAGGCGTATGAACTCGACTTCTCTTCCCCTGTTAGCGTGTTTCTTGCCACACAACGGTAGGTCGTGAACTGATCGGCGTCCCTGATGTCCCGGATGTGCAACTCGCCATCATACAGCAGACTGATCCTCTCATCTGTGCAGGTAGATCGGTAAAAAAGATATACAGCGACACATGTAAAACGGTTAAATGGATACCCTGCGGAATTACTAGCATACTTCTTTTAATGTTTTCGATTGTGTATATTTTTCATTGATCAAATATTATACAACACTATTTGAGTGTCCGTTGAAGTTAAGATTCCTCAACGATTGTTTACAGTGATCATCTCTTCATAACTCAATAAGTTGTGCCTTCTTCTATACATTTGGTGCTATGAGTAGCAACATTCAACCTTACTTGCTTGGTGTACTATACTTCTCTGCTAAAATGCTCAAATAACCATTTTTCCACTGAGTGTTGGGTGCTCTTTATTTCGTATGCTCCAATAACACTTTTTCCACTGGTTGTTAGGTGCTCTTTATTTCGTATGCCCATATAACCCTCACCATTAATGAAGGTTTATTTGTTGCCCTTTAATATCCTACATCCAAATAATAACCCGTTAAATCAAAGAAAAGGATCATTGCCCTCAACAGTGATACCTTGCCCTTTCTCGCTCTAAGCCCTGTATATAACCCATACCCCTAACCTTCCACAATAGTATGGTTTTCCGTAAGAGTGATCTCCCGTTTTTACTCGTTTTATGCCCTGTATTTCCCTATAAACCTTACCCCTTACTTTGTACAATATCATGGTTTCCCTAAACAGCAACCTCCCGTCCTTACTCGCTTTACGCCCTATATTTCCCTATAACCCGTTTCTCTTACAATCCACAATAAGATAGTTGCCCTAAACAGCAATCCCTCGTCCTTACTCGCTTTACGCCCTGTATTTCCCTATAACCCGTATCTCTTACAATCCACAATAAGATAGTTGCTCTAAACAGCAATCCCTCGCCCTTACTTGCTTTACGCCCTGTATTTCCCTATAAACCTTATCTCTTACAATCCACAATAAGATAGTTGCCCTAAACAGCAATCCCTCGCCCTTACTTGCTTTACGCCCTGTTTCCCCTATAACCCGTATCTCTTACAATCCACAATAAGAAAGTTGCCCTTAACAGCAATCCCTTGCCCTTACTCGCTTGGTACCCTGTATTTCCCTATAACCCATACCCCCTAACCTTCCACAATAGGATGGTTGCCCTAAACAGCAATGTATCATTCCTCCTAGCTTAACGTCCTGTGTTTCCCTACAACCAAATAACCCCCTTACCTTCCACGATTGGGTTGGTGCCCTGTACCCAGCCGACGATTTTGACATAATCTTTGACGAAATACGGGTTAATGCTGCAGCGAAATACGGCAGTGCTGCCTCGCATCGCCCAAACCTCGTTTGACGTCAGATGGTACGTCGTGTATTCATCCACCAACACTGAAAAAATAGTGCAAACTTTATGAAAATTCAATCATCTACATTTTATGTTGTCTACGTCATCAAATGTTTTGCTTACATTTTGTAATTTTCAGCGTGAATGTCAACAAAATATATTCAATTATATTTTCACAATCCGGAAATCGAATTTAAGCGTACTGTATGTGATACTGTTTACGCACAAATATACCTCCGCGAAAATAGTCCATTTTGTGTCAGATTGACAATGCGGACATTTTTATGCAGAGAAAAGAAACCATGGACAGTAAACATTTTTATTATTTCTAAAATGAAATATTGACTCATACAAGTGTTTTACGGCCAAAGGAAATCACGTGGTGATGCGATCAGCCATTATTAGCAATGAATCATTCATTTCAAATTTTTGAAAGTATGATTTAAGAATTTTATGCAACATTAATTTTGTCGTAGAAGTGCACTAGTTCGCTATTACAAAACAGTCGCTGATAAAGCTGTAATTTACATCCCATTTCAGGACTGAAATACGTATTTAACACCATTTTATCACGGTCGAACGTTAAAATAAAATATTTAAATTCACATAGCATACAATCAGAAACCTTTCAAGCATATTGTCGGGATGGAATACCTCGACATCATTTTTTAATAAAGTCTTCACGTGCCAGAAAATTTCAATAATTAGAATTATAAAATTTCGAAAAATATGTAAACCTAACTTATTTGAATATTTGATGCACAAGAAACGTATGATTTTAAACTACTCAATATTCGATTTGCATGTTAGCGAACTTGCAAAACCTGTAAAAAACGCAAATTCAGAAACACATGTTAAAACTCTTTTTAACGACGTTCAAACCCATACAAGCTCTATCATCGTTGCATAATAATAAGATTGAAAAAAAAATTAAGTATGAAATATTTAAATACAGCATTAATTTCATTTTTTTCTTCTTTTTTATTCGGATGCCCTTTTAGAATTATTTTTTCAAAACGGAATACTGTAAAGTCTTTGAGATACCAAATTAAAATTATCATATTTTAAAAAGGGTAAAAGACGGTACATATTTCGTAAAATGGAAAATGAAATTCGGGAGAAAAGGCACTGACAAATTTTCTATTACCTAGTTGGTTGTTCCCATCGATTTGAGGTATGCAAGTTTAACATGTATAGTTGTTTCATCGGGAACAATATGTTTTAAGGAATGAAATTGGATTAATAATTTCAAATCTACATAGATGTGTTATTCCTATTAAGAAATATAATATTCATATTATTATGATATTGTTATGCCGGTTGTCATGTCTCGTTTTATGTCTGTTTCAATCGAGAACCATCGGTACTTTCCGCCCTAAACGGATACGGAAAGTGCCGATGGTTCTCGATTTGTAAATTTACAACTCACATTACGATGATGTCGGTCCGACGATTATTGTTTAAGGAAAAACTGACGTCATAGCAGGGTTTTATTGTTTGTGTTCATAGCAGAGCGACACATGACTGTCATTTTATAATTACGTCACCATCCGAGAAAGTCCAGTTCTTATATCTTTCAAAGCATATCGTCAAATCATAGCGGAAACCTTTAAATGAATACCATCCAAGCCACGATTATCTTTGAAATAGACCGACACCCTTCCCTTGATATACCAAAAAAAGGACATCCGAGGTAGATTTCCGAACATGTTTTAAAAAGAAAACTATTATTCTCTTAGAGTCGATATTTACGTGCGTCATAACAAAATCAGAAAAGTATTTTTTAAGGTTTTTTTCTGTAAGTATCATTTGATAGCAACATGCTATGCGTTAATGATCTGTGAAAAATACGCTGAATGTATCAACCCGGGGGACAACACTTCGTCAATAAAAGCGCGGCGTACACTTAATGCAACAAAATGGGGAAATGAAGTAAGAATAAATTCAGTAAAACCACACTGTTGTCACACGTGACCTTCTGTCGAATTAAGAAGTCAGAGTCAATATTTAACACTGTTACTCCATGTAATAATAATACGGGGAGTGTTGACGTTTAGGAATCATGTGTGTGGTCTCCGGGGGCTTCCGAAGGACAGGGATCGCATTTCGAGTGCAACAGTTCCTTACATTTGAAAGGGTGAAAACATCTGAATGGTATGTTTCGTTTTTTACTTTTGATTTATTTACATTAAATAAATAAGCAGAAGGATTAAGAGAAGAACGGATTCGCTTTACGCTATCAACCAAATACTACATAGTTTCCCCCAGAATATTGAGTGTTATTTCGAGAGACCTGCGTTCCCAATGGACACACGCTGTCAGTATGCTTTTTACAATACATTAAATATCCCTGATTTATACTTTAACGCGGCCGTTTATAGCCATTTAAAAGGGATTTTATGTAACGAGATACCGAGTTGAATTTTGTAATCACTGTCTAATGCTATAACAACACATGGCGGCAGAACTGCATCAAACCCTGTCCCGCTCAGAACGGACTTTGTTTTCAAATGTGTTCAACGTCTTAAGAGCACTAGACAAGCCGGAAAATACGGTATCCAATTTTCTAGTTAGAAATCACGAACCGGAAACCACTGTAACCATTTTTCTAGTTAGAATTATTTAAACCGCTTCCGGTTTTGCACGTGACATGCGAACGGACAATGTCTAAACGCTGCCAAACATTGGTTATCCATTAGCAGCTGCGCGGATCTGTCGAAGTAAACATGATTTCTTACATTAGTTTGAAAACGAAATAAAAATAATATTTGCATAAATGTAGGAGTTATGTACGACTGGTTGCGTGCAGGTAATTAAATCGGATTGCTGTACTCGTCCAGTGTACTCGCTTGGAACAAACTCACGATCAGCCGTGTTACCTAAAAAGGCCGTGTACGTTGCTTTTCCATTAGAAACATTTATTAGACGATTTAACGATACGGTCCGCAATAATCAAAAAACAGCACAGTGCATACCATACCGTTACAGTACAGTACGCGTCCGTATTGTGCAATTCTGTATTGATAAATCCGTTATCCGCGTCCATGATTGTAACAAAAGCACGCAAGAGAATTGAGAAACTGATACATTCTCCATGTCATTGTTCCTAATTAAAATATGCTAATGACCAGGCGCCATTCTTAATAGCTCCCGAGGAGATGGCGATATAATGAGAATGCCTTATTACCTGTTCGCCCCTACTGAATACTAAATATGGTATCTCCTTAGTCTCAAATGGGATCGCGTAGTGAGGGAAAAACGGAGACCGGATGCAAGGGACATACATCGACCAAGCCGCGAAACCCGCTCGTGTATGTATTCTTAAAAATGTCAACGAGTATCCTCCCCTCCTTCTTGTCCCTGGCATGGTCAAGGTAGACTGGGCGCTGCCTTTGGACAGAATTCATTTTTTAAAACTAGCCTACGAAATGTTCACAAAAAGTTTATCTGTGTATTGATGAAGCGCTGACATTTTCGTCGTAATATAAAATTTAGCAAAAACATCTAAAAAAATATATATAAAAAATATATAACGAATGCCTAGATTCATATTTAACGATTGTCTCTAAGTTTGCCTTATTAGAACTTTCATATCAGATCCGCGCATGTGCGAGCATGACGTTCACACTTAAAATCAAAACTTCACGCATGCGCATTGAACCTGATAAGTATGTACGCTAGGCCGATTAGAGAAATTTCCACATTTTCAGATTAGCTGTAATTGGTCTCAGTATCGATTTAGTCTAACAGCTAAATCACGGCACGTGCCAGTCCATGCGGAGGTAAGATCGGAGGGTCCGATGGCCGACAGGTGTAGCGCGTTCGACCGTCCACCTGTAATTACCTTTATAAAACACAGGTAATCGATACTCACCTCGGTAAGGCCATGGTAAAGAAAGTCTGTGGTTCTTAGTTTGAATGCAGATAGGTCACGTGATTGCTCAAGATTAGAACATCAAGTCAATATCAAAATTCGTTGTTGTTTTTAGGTTTTCAAAAATGAATTGGATGTTGATGAATTGTATACATGTATATACAAGATATTCATTATAGTTTTTATTATTTTCATTATGGGTATTCCTTGTGCTTTCCTTATGATAAATTCATACCTATTTAGTATTTTAATACCATGTAAGTTGTTAATATTTCAAACAACGTACATCTATCTTTTTCTGTTATAATGGGGGTTTTTTAGCTTTTTTTGGGGCATTTTTACCATTCAAGCTCAGTTTTTCTTCAGATTTTTTTTTCTGTTAACTTAATCTTCATTATTTTTCATTATAGTTACACAAAGTATGGTTTTCTTTTCAGAAATTATTTAAACAGTTGCCACTGCACAGTGACGTGTTTTTGGCAGAAGTACGGGAACCGTTTTGGAGATATAAACCGGAGGGAATATATATTTTAAGGACGCCTAGCTCTATATTTCCATGGTAATCATAGCATTGATATAGATATAAATATATATTAATTTCTTTGTTGCATATCTTAAAATGTACTAAGTGAATGGTGGTCGGGTGGCGCAGTGGTAACGAACTCGTCGTTCAAAAGGCGACCGAAGTTCGATTCCCCGATCGGACGTGAAAAGGTATGGGGTCACCGGGCCAGACCACGTGAGTTTTCCCGCAATCTGATTAAAATCATATGTTTACATGGCTTCGTTAACTTCGTACTACGCCTGAACATCTGAGTGTGCCGCGGTCAGGGTCACGTTCAGGTGACCTTTATATTAATAAATACTCATTAAAATTTGACCAATCAGAAACCCTCTTTCAAAAGGGCGCTCGGAGTTGTAACAAATATGGAGGACATTGATGAGAATGTTGCGAAAGTTCTGAAGTTATTTGAGATTGATCGTCTGAAACCCGAACAGAAAATGATATTCGAAACTTTATTAGAGAAGAAAGACTGTATGGCGGTGTTGCCTACGCAATTATTACCCAATGATTACGTTTTCCTTGGCGTCGTAGAAACGTCAGTTCCCGCCCCCATATTTGTTTTGGAAAACTAATCTGTTCGATACCCCTCGCTATTTATCTCTATAAACCATGTTATTCTGATTCGCTGGCAAACTTTTGCCAGTGCGCCTCTGATTGGTTCATCTAAAGGTCACTTGAACGTGATCCTGACCGCGGCACATTCAGATGTTCAGGCGGAGCCATGTAACAGATGATTTTAATCAGATTGGTTTTTCTGGGTACTCTGGTTTTCTTACGTATTAAAACTAACTGCATGCTTACATTTCCGCCAACAAGAGTGATTAATATAAGCAGATAAAAATTGTTGTAAAATGTATAAAGCATAATCTGATGAATTTGTTTTCGCAGATTTTCATATCGTTATTATATCATCTTCTTGTTACAATACAGTGTTAATTGTTTAATTAACAATACAGACTTTCTGCTTATATAGCATTTGTTGAAATGCATTTCAAAAGACATCCGATAAAATGCGTCCAAGAAACGTGTCTCGGAGAATACGGACATATATATATCAGCTTCTGCGTTTGCGCGGACTCGCAACCCGCCCCCGTCACCTGAATTTGCACTGATGATGTAAGCACTGCTCATTGCAATATGTCCCCGGTACTATACAATTAACATGGCGGTCATTTACTGTCAATAAACGATAAATACATTGATATATCTGAGGCCGTGATAATGATTTTATACACACTGGTGATGGCTGTACATGTAAAAGCTTTCATTTTTTATGTCTGCGGTGATTCAATTAAAGTTATCAAACTATATACTGTTGATGTATCGGAGTCGTTACTGGGTGCAGTGTGGCTTTTATGCAATTCGCTCGAGGATTCGTTTGATACGATCGTGGGATCAACAGTCGCACGTGGGAGCAAAGAGATCACGTGAGTTCATCAATACCACGTGTAGCCTGGGTACCACATGGAGTCTTGTCAACTTGATACCACAGGATCCGGTTCAATATTTGCATATTTGCATATTTTGGTTTTCATTCTGAATTAAGACAGACGATTTAGCCTCTATGTGGGCTCTCCTACAGAAGCGGTGTTAACATGTTTGTCATTTAAATGTTCAACGTTAAATTATAAACAGCTCTAGTATAATGTCCTTGATTAAGGATGACTTTTTGTACATATCTTTATCTTTATTGTTACTTCCATCATGTGTGATAAGGCATATCGATACTTCAACGTGTGAAAAGCTGAAGATGGGCATATTTGTTGTAACAGTGCATGCTGACGACAGTAAGAAGAAATTTAAACATTTACCTGATAATGAATCGACTTTTAAAAACTTTTATCTGATTGTGAACCTCATTTTAACACCAGTATAACCCTTAACATGATTTAGCTTCGGTCTTTTCTGACAATTTTATTACTGCTGAGACAACCCCATTTACATGTTCTACCTTTTTATCTGTTGAGACAACCCCTTTTCCTGCTGTAAGTTTTCTACTGAGATATCCCTGTACCTGTTTTACATATATTTCTTTTGAGACGACCCTTCACCTGGTTTCACAACTTAACTACTCCTGAGATAGCCCCCTTACCTGCTTTGACATCCATGTCCCTGCTGATGATGATCCCCGCGTCGTTTGAAGCGACACATCTGTACGTGTGCGTATGTACATCAGCGATGAAATCCGTGGCATCGAAGGGATGGAAGTAAAGGGTGTTGTTTGGAAGAATCTCGAGGATATCCGGAATGTCTTCGACAGCAGTGCCATCTTCTTTAATCCAGTCAAGGGTAGGAGCGGGACGACCAAACGCTGTACATGGAACGGCTGCGCCTTTCGTGTTTCCGAACGTCAATGAACTTGGAGGTTCCGAAATAAATATAGGACCTCTCAAATTATCCAAAGGGGATTCGGTCGTACGCCCTGTAATAATAACATCATGTTAAAACCAACAAACACAAAAAATCTGCATATTTTACAGGCATTGCCAAACAAATCTTCATCAATTGTGATGACTTTTATTCAAATTCTTTATCATAAATGTGTAAAAAATGTAGCAAACAAAATTACAGAACGTAATGGGAAAAAACCGAAACTTGAAGCCCTCGCGCGCGTGATCCTGTTCCCCCATGTACAATATACTCCATATCCAATTTTATCTCTATCTTAATCATGTTTCAACTCAAATTCTTAACAAGTTTTATTATACTGATATTTAAAGAATTTTTTTTTAGATAACACGATTAGGTTATGTTCGACACAAAGTCGGTTAGGTTGATTTGAAAACTCGCTCTACCCAGGACGCCGTTACAGGACTCGATTTTCCTTCAATCAGATTGAAATCAAAGCTTTGATCTCTGTTCCTGTCACAGCGCTAGTAGCCGTTGGACCACTGGAGTCAAAAACGTCAGCAGTAGGAATCAAACGCTTGGATGACTAAGCTCGCAGTGTTCGACAGAGTATCGGATAACTTATATTAAATTCTAATTAACAAAATCAAAAACAATCAGCAAGAACGACCGTGAAATGAAATCCGCGTAAATCAAATTCAGAGATAAAATGAAAATCAAATGAGTAAATTGATGTTGATGTGAAAAACAACGCTTGGCTTTCTCCGGTTAAAAAAAACCAATCACACCACCATCTTGACGTCGTAACTTTACAAAATGGTTAACATCAAAAGGGTCGTAATTGATGACGTCACACCCAGGGGCCTCGTTTTGAGAAGTATCTCATGAATATGAAATGAGGTAGGGAGGGGTTTGAGTTATTTCGTTTAATTCATTAATATATCAAGAATGGCTTACATTTAGACATCGTCAGCTTTCGATATTTCTTTTTGGACTGATCAAGTTCATTTATCACAATAATTATTTTAAATAGTGTGCTAAATTTGTTGCATATTCTTGTATAAATACATTAGTACAAGAATGCATTTTAAAAGAAGCACATGATTATATCTATAAGATATCGACATGATTTCTTGGCAGAGCAGAAACTTTGACAATAAAATGATAAATTCTTGTCAATTAAAAAATATAATCTTAAATAATTTAGCAATAATTCTTAAATGCTTTGTATAAAGTTTCAATTTACTCGTTTTCAATGTATAGTTTGTTTCTAGATTCACTCTAAAGAATCATACCACAAGTTGTGTCTGTTCCGTAAACGATATTCGGGATGGCGGAATTTGTACATTGTGTGTTGGTCACAGAAGCTGTCAATAGACATGGCATGACACCGCGTCAGTATGAGCCGGGCAGGACCAGATTACGCCATCCCATTATACTACATGATTAACGATAGACGAATGGGGCCCCATATGGGGACTGGTAATGACTTTCCTGGTCGATGCATTATTGTATAAGCATGTATAGCCGTAGTTAACTCAGTTTTTTTAATATTTGTCGTTTGTGTAATTATTTTACACATATCATAAACGTATTGTGAAAAAACCCGATTATATATATATGTATTCATACCATGTGAAGATTTTTAAAAAAAAGCGCCTGATTATGAACAAAACAACAAACTCGTAAAATTTTAAAACTCAAATTTGAAATACAGATACAAAATCGCATTTTTTTAAAAGTTCAGTAAAGGAAATATTTCCTACGGACAACGATATGATGAGAATAGGATCACATTGCTAGCTGAGTTGCGTTTTGTGAATAAAAAACACTTGATGTGATAAATTGTAATATGTTGTACCCAATCTCTTGTGTAAATTAATTGACAATAAAATATGTTTAAAATAAGTACTTGATGGATCCTATCGACGGATTGAAAGTTTAACATGCTTCGTCTTCAATATTTTTAGAATGCATTCCTTCTTTGAACCTCAGTTTACTTTTTCAAAGCTCGAACCCATATCAGCGCAATATGATAGACCTGTATGAGGAAGGAAACGTCTTTGGGAGCTGAAGAAACGTTGGTGAAGTGAAGAAAGACAACTAGACTGTCTCGTGAAACTTTACACATGCAGTGTCAACAAATGCTGTGTTAAGAAAAGTACAACACGCCATGTCACTTCAGAATTTGTTACGTAAAGTCTTATATTTTCAATAGCAGGACCATAATCACGTGGAGGCCGCTGATTTGTGATACTCATCTGATGACATCATATAAATTGTGACGTCATATTGCTTTCTGACAAAGGCAGTTCCTTCCTCCTGACAATGTTTCATACGGTCATTTTTTGTTTAATAATTAAAATATTATTTAGCATTTGATAAAACAATTAAAGTATTTTGTTTCGGTGATTATATCAGGTTCATATAACCACATAAATTTCCCTCAACCAAATTCAATAGTTGATAAATATTTTATAAACATTTTATAACACATGTAGTATTTGTATAGGACTGAAAATAACATCCCTGTTGTGGTCCCCTGGATTCATTCACAAGCGCGAGAGAGTTCCCGCGCCCTCTGAGATTTCTAGCGCAAATCAACTCGGTGTATCAAAATTCAATCAAAGACGTGGCCCGCCCAAGGACCCTCAATATTGACTAAAACTTTTTTAATCTTCGTTTCTTTTCCTGATAACCTTTGACCTATATCTGGGGGAAAAGCGCGCTCTGATTTCAATATGTCAAGTAGAAGTGCCGATGTGATCATGATGGGGCGGTTTTTTAATATCTGGTGAATTAAATATTTATCGACCCCAATCGCTTTCTTGTCGTCTTTAATCAATACTTTCAAATAACGGTATCAAGCATATCAGAGGCGAAATCGCGGTCATTAATACTCTTACAGTGTCGTTGTTTTGTAACAACGATTAAGCACATCATTGACGGTGTTTAGGCTCTCGATCAAGTGAAAGTATAAGAGATTAAATGAAAATCCCAACAAATGTCTATCAGCCGTTGCATTTCAGCTCTCGTTTTCAGAGTCAATTGTAACCATACTTGAACGTACAAGGAGAGAGAAAAAAGGCCAAAATAAATATGTGAATGTTTCAGATAACATGACTGAAAAATAGGGTATGTCGGTATACGTAGTGATGCTTTGTTTTAGGGGGGCTTTTCTAGGAAAATTACAAAAATCATAAAACATAGTTATTAAGAACAATTGTTTTAATTTTTTATTATATCTCTAGGTATTTAAAATAAAATATCGGTGCGTTCGATTTGGACGTTCAGGTGGCTTCGAGTGATATGAAATTGCTAGGGTCGGTTGGGGCACCTGAAACATAATATTTATTTTGACCTAAATAAAATGCTACGTACTCTAGATCTGTTACCGTCCAATTTTGAAATGCCGCAAATCAATAATTGTGTTTTTTATCTGATATAGTTTATATTTTACTAGTCTTAAGTGCTCTCTGTTGGTTAATCCAAAATATATGTCACGATTTATTGGCTTTTGTACATGTGACACAAATGATAATTATCATTGTGGTGTAAATATTCCTTCCAACTAATAATTTCTACTTACTCGACATACACTGTATCGAGAGCGAAAATACCAAAACAAACAAGAAAGTCATTCATGTTTTACAGTAAAAGAATCCATAGATTTCTTTCTCAGTTCAAAATAAATCCAACTAACCCTAGAGTTTTCAAAACAGAAAAGCGCTATTTTTGGCATCCGGGATATCATCTAGAATTAATTTCTTGACAATTATATGTAAATGTAGATATAAAAATAATATGCATATATACTTTTTTTGTATTTTCGATCATAACATGTTTTTATGCAAATGTGAAATATCATACATTCATACATTTAATCATAAAAAAACATATTTAATAGGAATGTTCTGTGACTGTTTACAATATCACTTGATCATGATTTACCGAATGCTTTGCGATTATCTCTGTCTTAACCCTCTATTGGCGTTTCGCTGTGTATATGTGTGTCAACAACACAACACATCGGTAATTTGGAGAGCCTCGAGTCACGTAGCTTTGTGTTACATACGGCGATAATGACCAAAAGATTGATCATTTATCGCAGAAGTCTTCATATAATTTCTCGTTATCAAATATTCGATATAGTATATAATCTCCATTTAATAGCCGCGTGCTGGTATCGTTAACCCCCAAACAGCCCAGATAATGGCGGTAATGACGTGTAACAGTCAACTGGAAAGTCGATTGAGGGAGTTAGTACGCTAAACCGACCAGGTACACAGCTATATACACTATTGACGGGGTCAGATGTCAGGTGGTGTTAGTGTGCTAAGTTAAATAGTCGAATTATGTATTGAACGCCTATTGCGAATCCCGATTACGGAAGAGACATCTCTTATTCACCCATCCTAAAAATAGAAATAAGTGTTACACACAATTCATGTATTACGGGCGTAGTGACATATATAGCTAGGGCCAAAGACATATAGGATCTTACAAAAGTACATGAGTTTCCATTAAATATGAGATTTATGAAACGAGTCTAAGAATTTTTCAATTTAGCAAGCCTCTTGCAAGTTTCATAAATTTCATATGAAATGAAAACGAGTGCAAGATCCTTTTTATCACATAATCAAGATTTGTGGCATTTATAATGACAAATTTTCATTCAACCTTGTAATGTAAAAACCCACCATTTTGATTTCAGTGTGTAAGTCTGTGATGTCATGTGCTTGCCCTCGGCGTGACGTCACAATTGAAACTTACAACTTACAACCAATGTGACTGGCGGCTTTTTACATTTCAAGGTTGCATGAAAATTGTCGTTTTACACGAATAAATGCCACAAACCTTGATTATGTGATAACAAAAATTAAACTCATTTTAATTCCATATGGTATTTTTAGGATAAGTTATTCGAGGCACGCGTTCCTCAATTTGCAGTTTGTGTCTTAGCGTGTAGGAATAACGCACCTCATCAGACGCAGACTACTCATAGACTCACAAGGCCGGCGATGTACGTGTTGTTATTCGCGTTCGCCAAGGCCAGACACATATTACTCCGTA